CAAAACACTTTATAAGTTGTAAAGAACTGAAAATTGTAATTTGTTGTGTTTGCAGCATACTTACTGAAGTCAAAAGCTATTTCAATCAAACTTATAACAACATTTTAACTTTGTAAACGTTTTAACAGGTCACGTTACATTTTAACATAGGACCCCTTATTTGATAGCAGCTTCACAAGTCTTGCATCCATTGAACTTGTGAGTTTTTGGACAGTTTCTGCTTGAATTTGTTTGCAAGATGTCAGAATAGCCTCCCAGAGCTGCTGTTTGGATGTAAACTGCCTCCCACCCACATAGATCTTTTGCTTGAGGATGCTCCAAAGGTTCTCAATAGGATTGAGGTCAGGGGAGGATGGAGGCCACACCATGACTTTCATTCCTTTTATCCCCATAGCATCCATTGATGCAGAGGTATTCTTTGCAGCATGAGATGGTGCATTGTCATGCATGAAGATGATTTTATTATGGAAAGTATAGTTCTTCCTTCTGTAGCAGGGAAGAAAGTGGTCAGTCAGAAACTCCGCATACTTTGCAGAGGTCATCTTTACACCTTCAGGGACCCTAAAGGGGCCAACCAGCTCTCTTCCCATGATTCCGGCCCAAAACATGACTCCAACACCGCCTTGCTGATGTTGCAGCTTTGTTGGAACAGGGTGGCCGTCCACCAACTATCCACTACTCCATCCATCTGGACCATCCAGGGTTGCACGGCACTCATCATTGAACAGGACTGTTTGAAAATTACTCTTTATGTATTTTTCTGCCCAATGCAGCCATTTCTGCTTGTGAGCATTGGTTAGTGGTGGCCAAATAGAAGGTTTATGCACAGTTGCAAGACTCTGGAGAACTCTCCACCTTGATGTCCGTGGGACTCCAGAGGCACCAGCAGCTTCAAATATCTGTTTGCTGCTATGTAATGGTATTTTAGCAGCTGCTCTCTTGATCCGATGCATGGATCTGGCAGAAATCTTCATCAATGTGCCTTTATCTGCACGAACCCATCTGTGCTCTGAATCAGTCACAAATTTCTTAATAGTGCGATGATCACGCTTAAGTTTTCGTGAAATATCTAATGTTTTCATACCTCGTCCAAAGCATTGAACTATTTTACTCTTTTCGGCAGCAGAGACATCCTTTTTCTTCCCCATATTGCATGAAAATGGTGCTCTGCTGAATAATGTTAAACGCACTCCTTTAGTAGTTTTTCCTTAAATTGGGCTCCCCTGGCATACTAATTATCACAGGTGTCCGAGATTGTTTTCAGTGATCAAAAGAGCCCTGAGACACAATGCCATCCATGAGTTAAACTGAAAAACAAAATATTTAATCTTTGTGACACAAATAAAATTTGCATAATAATTTGGAACAAGGTGTATATGTAAAAAAAAAAAAAATACAAATAAAAATTTAATTTTGAATTTCTGATAATTCACACAGGTGTAGGCAATCTTCAGCACTCCAGATGTTGTGGATGACAACAACTACCCTGAGGCTTTAAAAGTAAAGCAAAAATACAGGGTGTTATGGCACCCCCAGGCATAAAAGGGTTAAACCGCCATTTAGTAGATCTTCCCCTTCCACAGACACAGGCACAACTACTGTAGACACCAATCCACCGAACCGGAGAAGCATATGAATGCTCTCAAACATACGAATTCAGAATCAGCATACTCCAAATACGAACATATGTCAAAATCATCCACATTGGTTCAAAAGATAGATCGAAGTCCTTTGGGACCAAAGGAAGCATGGCTTTTCTGCCCAAAACCAGTTCCACAGAGTCTTCTATCCTGGAGATAATTGGGAAGTAATCCAATTATCTCCAAGGACAGAGGCAAAACTCCATTAAGCACATGGCAGTAAAAAGACAGTAAAATACAATAAAATACACAAGGTTACATTTATTACATAAAATACAGGCATGCAACATATCCCCAGATAGCTTGGGTCTGAGCACACATTATTACTGAATGGCACTCAGACCACACACATACAGTTCAATTGCCATGGAGCCAAAGTCTTTCCCATAGTCTTTCATTAAACGAATGGACTCCATGGCATAGCTATCTGGGGTATCACCGCTCAAACAGGGCAAGCACCGAATGACCCGGCTTTCGTGTCTTTGCAGGGGAAAATCAAGCGTTTCAACATGGGGCCATAGTCTAAAGGCAGCAGGCGGGCAACCGGGCTCCTCCAATGCACAGTGGCGAGATTGGTCTCGTCACACAGGGTGCACCAATAAATTACACTACACAAAAATACAGGTAACTAAAAACAGTAAAAATGCACCAAAAGTTAAAAAGTCCACAATAAAGTCCAGAAAAATTCCATGTGATAAGACACAGTTTTTAAAGTAGCAATCCATCTTCTAGCTTCTGTATAGTGCTTATTGGACAACTTCAGTTAGTAGCAGCATATGAAAGAAAGCAAAAACAAAGAGGAACCAATAGTGCAGTATGGTAGTAGAGTGTAAGACACTTAAGCCTAAAAAACTGTTAACTCAGATATGATAGAGCTATAACCAGCTCTGGATAAAACAGCATGCAGTGTTTTATAAACCCCACTTGCAGGATATCCCTCTGATGGTAGTTCACAACAGGATAGCGATGAGGTACATCATATGAAATGACAAAAAAACAACCAATAGTGCCCTTTGTATAGGTAAGTATATACAAAATTAAAAAAATTGCCAAAAATTTTTTTTAAAAGCAAGAATAGAATAAAACCACCAATTCTATTTTTGTTTAAATAAAGTATTTTACCTACCTCAGCATCTGTTGTAAGTCACATACATTTTAGCTCTTATTTTTAGTATTTTATTTTACACATGTCATCTGGACCTATTTTCCTGAGTTTCCTGTGGACAACCGTTCAAAGAATCCTAGGTGGGAATCATACCACCCATGCTTGATACATAAAGAGAATAGTCTGCTCATTTTATTGTAAGTATATTTTACTTTATTTTATATATACTTACCTATATAGAGAGCATTATTGGCTACTTTTTGTCATTTCATATGATCTACCTTATTGCTATCCTGTTGTGAATTACATCACTATCCTGTTATAAAACACTACGTGCTGTTTTATCCAGAGCTGGTTATAGTTCTATCATATGTGAGTTGACAATTTTTAGATTTAACCCCTTAAGGACCAAACTTCTGGAATAAAAGGGAATCATGACATGTCACACATGTCATGTGTCCTTAAGGGGTTAAGTGTCATATGTCTTATACTCCACTACCATATTGTGCTATTGGACCTTTCTTTGGCTTTCTTTGATATGCTGCTAGTAAGTGAAGTTGTCCACTAAGCACCATGCAATAGCTTGAAGATGAATTGCTACTTTTAAGACTGTGTCTGATCACCTGGTATTTTTTATTGCTGGGCGTTATTGTGGACTTTTTTTTACTTCTGTTGCATTTTTACTGTTTTTATTTTTTTCTAATGTGTTATATTGCTTTACTTTTTGAGTTACCCTAGGAGTTTAGAGGGAATCCCCCACCTTCAGGTGTGCTGCTTACTATACCTTTGTGTTCAGTTGTTCAGCACTGCTCCACCTCCCTTGTTGTTTTGTACCCTGAGGCTTTGCCAGCATTGCAAAACAAATGTAGAGAGGGCCCTGGTGCCGAAAAGTTTTTTGGGCCCCCCTCTAGTGGCCTAGTGATCAAAAGGTAGATCCCCATGTGTCATACAACTCCAACAATACTATGGCAGCTGGGAATCTACCATTTGCCCATCCTTGCAGGGTTGTATTTGTGAGCACTGTTTGTGCATTTGAATGTAAGCATTTTTGTATAGAGTATATCTGTGCATGTAGGGGTGTATTTGTATGTACTATTGTCATTGAAATGCAGTGGTGTACATGTGTGTAGTGTTTGTGTTTGAATTCAGGGGTGTGTTTGTATGTAGTGTAAGCTTTTAAATGTAGGTATACTTTTGTGTGTAGTGTTGGTGTTTGAAGGTGTGTGTGTTGTATATAATTTTGAAGTTTGAATGCAGGGGTGTGTTTAAATGATATATTGTTTTAAAATCAAGACGGGACGTCATGCATCATCTCTAGACGTCCCGACGCTCCTTCCGGAAGTATACACTGGAACCGGAAGTGAATACGTCGGGACGCAAGGACGCGGGCTGACGTCATGATGCCCACGCCGAAACCGGAAGTGTGCCGCAAAAGCGCGCCAAACAAAGTAATAAAAGAAGAAAGCCTTGGAAGATTGGGATACTCCTGATGAAGGCGAAAGCCAAAACGTATAGCGACGACTGGGCTTTTTCATTGTGTGGGACATTTTCCAATTCAATTTAATTTTATCTATTTTTCTCTTTTAATAAATGTATTTGTAACCTCCTACATTCTGCGTCCTTAATGAATTTGGAGGTACGAGATACAGCTGATTGGAGTTCCTGCCAAAAGTCCTGCTTTCTCATTTATTCAAGACATGACGTTTGAGCCAGCTTTTAAAGTGGCTCCATATATGTGAGTGAGACCAACACCTGATGGTTTATTGTTTCACCTTAACTATATTACCCTATGTTTTTCTTTTTCTGATTATTTTCAGATTGATTGACTGCAATTTGGGTATTGTTACTTATTTATTTTGAGTGCTCTCACCATTTTCTCTGTTTTTATTGTATAACTTTGGCCAGTGTTTTCGACTAAGTGGCTACTAAAAAAGACTGGACATACCCCATATCGAATGCCCTGGGTTGTCTACTTTAAAAAAAATATGTACATGTGGGGGTTTTTTCAGAGATTTATGACAGATAATAGTGTTACAAATGTCACTATTGATACATTTTAAAAATGTATGTTTTGAAACAGCAATATCCTACTTGTACCTATAGCTCTATAACTTGCAAAAAAAAGCAAGTAGCTTTTATAGATGAGTAATAGATTTTTCAAGTAAAAGTAAAAAAATTATGTATTTTTTTTCAATTTTTACCATATTTTATTATTTTTAATTAAATTATATGATATGATAGAAATAATGGTATGTAAAGAAGCCATTTTTGTCCCCCCCCAAAAAAATATATAATTTGTATGGGAACAGTAAATGAGAGAGTGGAAAATTACAGCTAAACACAAACACCACAAAAGTGTTAAAACAGCTCTGGTCCTTAACGTACAACATGGCCAAAACAGTCCGGTCCTGAAGGGGTTAGAATACACAATAACCAAAATAACACACATCAGAAGAATAGTTTGAGTTGGATGATGTCTTTGGTTTGTGCAACACGGATCAAACAAAAATATACATTTTAATGTTTATTATATAAGCTAATTTTCCAAATCATGAATAGGTCACTGTGCTAATGTAATATTGAAATATGGTTTAAATAAAAAAAAAAATTGTTAAGAAACATTGATGCAAATATACGTAAACAAACATTTTCTATAAAAAGTGGTCTCTTCCACGAAACCATATCCAGTTACTGGCAAGCTGGCTTTGGTGCTGAGAGACAAAGCACATAATCAGAAACAACAGTTGGGAGATATGACATGGGGATGTGATAGAGTTTGCAATCCCAGCCAGCAGAGTATCGTGTCCAGGGATGGACAGCAGTCAGAGCGTGTTCCATACAGTTTATGACCTCATGCAACTTTGGGCTAATTTTTCCACACACATTTTTCACGTTCTTGATATCTGTCCAAAAAAACAAAATTAAACAGTTCATTGTACTGATGTTCTTTATTTCAGATCCTGTTTTAAGGTTACTAGGATAAAGAAATCTGTATTTACTAGATGTGGAGATGTTTAAAGTGAATAAACAACATTGTAATGGTTAGTTTTTTTTTAAACTTTAAAGGTTTACTCCACACTCCATGACCACTCCAGTCATTTGAAACAATAATTCTGGCAAAAAAATAAAAAAAACTTTCACAAAAGAGATAAAAGACCACATAAAAATATACCAACTGTATGCAACAGTTAACTTAGCTGATAGAGAGTTCATATGTAGCAGGTCTCCTTTTACAAAGCATGGTAATAGGTTTTATTAAATGGTGTAATCTACAGCTCCCTTCCAGGCTATCCACCAGCAGATCCAGAATATTTAGTTCACGCCAAAGCAGAAGACCATACTGCCCCACAGTCCTCATTATATCCCCAATTATTTTCAAACTGAAACAAACATATTGGACTGTAATCCACTATTATATCTATCGTGTAGCAATCACAACATACAGTTTATGATAATGCTTATATGATATTGCCAGCACACGTGTCTGCTTTTTAAAACCTGGTGAAAGATTTGATATATTTTATGGTTGAGTTGCCTAAAGGTAGATTATAGATGATATTGACTTGCTCTTTTTTTAAAAAAAAATTTCATTCTTTATTTTCGTTGTGCTTCATTTGGTGTACATAGTGATGAAGACGTGTCAGCAGGTTCGTCAATGTTTCACAGAAAGAGAAATGGATCATGTCAAAAGCTTACAGCACATTTTATAATTTTAAAAGGAGAAACACTATAATAAAAAGTATACTGGAACCCGTCATCTGATGTATCATGTGTGCGCGTGGCCTGGAGATTCTCCAAGTGTCCAAACAAAAAGCAGGACTGTCACACGTGATACTATATGAGTGATTCCATTCGCCTAAGTATTGGTCAGCTGTAACTAGGGGGATATACGGAGGTAGTAATTGTCAGATAAAAATAGACATTATGTATATGAAAAGGTTATCGTCTGTCAGCTGGGTTTTAAGTAGGGAAGAAAGACGCTAGTGATATCAAATTCTACGTCAGCTTGGAGCCAGAAACAATATGAAAACTAAAAATAAGTAAATGAAACAGTAATAATAAAATAGATAATCACTGGTTATAGAACAAAAAATTAAACCAAATGGTGTAATGACAGAACTGTGTGCACTTATCATGAGCAGGCAGTTCAAATCAAGAGCGGTTCCACTCTTCAGGTTGGTGCGTTGCTAGATGTTGAAGCCGCAGCTCCTGGTATAAATGGTGTTATCCGGTCTGACCACATCAGTCGGAGCGCTGCAGATAGAGATCCGTCTGGTAGTCCCAACTCATGGAGTAAGGAAGCTGCTTCTGAGAGGTGAGTGAGGGAGTGGGTCTTGCCACCTTTCTCTACGAGGAGCCTGTGCATCCCCCATTTGTATGGCACCTTGTGATCCCGAAGTAGTTGGGTGAGTTGCTGGAGTGACTGCCTCCAAATGATGGTGTGGCAAGATAAGTCCCTGTAACGGATCCCAGTACTCCAGCTGAGTACATCCGTGAAGAATCTCCCAAGTCACAAGTGCCCTAGTTTTTATAAGTGTAAATATAGCTCCAAATGCCCCAAACATGAGCCTAGACGTCATAAAGGGATAAGATGATCTGTTTAATCCAGGCTCAATGGCCTGCTTTTATGCAGTACAAGGACACAGAAAACACACCCATGACACTCCCACACAAAATAGGGTAATCCCTCCCCTGTGTCTGGGAGATAATTGAGTCAGGAACTGTACAAACTCAATTATATCAGGCACAGAAAAACATTCAATTTACAAACACCCCAAAAGTATCTCAAAAATACATAAAAACCCCACAAAAGTTACATCCCCTGATAGCCCCGATCTGGGTGACTTACATATCCAAAAATCACCCAGGTCGATTCAGGATTTCGATGGAAGTCAATTATTTGACCGACCGCGCACATAATCCTATGCCCATAACAGTTCCATTAAATCAGGGCTAGCGGTGGGTCCACTTTGGTAACATAAAAACAAAGTTTAAATGGTTCCTGGGAAGGCAAAATAGGGTTTTTGTCACATAGCTCCCCCCCAGTCCCATAGGGCAGCATACCCGCTTAGACCCCAATGGGTTGGCTTGGGGATGCCTGGACAGGTGGGTATTTTTCTAGCTCCGGAAAGTGCCAAACCAGGGACACCCAGGGCAAGCCACTAATGGTGGTTGGGGAGATTTAAGTCCCAAACAGAGTCTTTGTATATGGCCCATAGTCAGTGGGCAGGAGGCTAGCGTCCACACTCTTCCAGGAGCCCGTAGCAAATGTCCAGTCAGAGGGGCGTTCGTCACAGTCCTGATAAAAGGTTAGCTGGTGGTCCTCGTAACTCACAGAAGGTGTGCTCCTGGTTGCCCATATGATCCCCTTGTCATAGTCCCGGTTTCACCTGTTTTGGTGGTAGTAGCGTGGTTATGAGTCGCCTGATATAAGAAGGTAATTCTTTGGTGTTGACGGTCTCAGAGATCCCCCTGAATCTCACATTTCTCGCCCTGGTCTTGTCTTCCAGGATAGTCAATCGATTGAGTACAGCAGCATTGCTCTTTTGCACTGTGTGTAGGGCTGCATCTGTGGCCGACTCTGCCACTCTCACAGTTCCCATGTCAGCTTCAGTGATGGCAATCCTGTTGGTAAGCGTGGCCACCTCTTCCCTCACCACTGCCACATCAGCTTGCCCTAATTTCCAGAAGTAGTTTTGATGTCTGCTTTACCAGTCCCAGAGGGCTCTTGGGCAGCTTTGGGTACCTTTGTGAAAGTGGATAGCTATTCAGGTAAGCTTTCCTTGTCTGAGGAATCCGAGGTAAAGGTCTCCGCCAGCGCAATTTTAGTTCGCTCGGGCCTAGCGGATTTGCCGCAGGAATGTCCCTTTATCTCGGGACCCGGGGCTCGGATCAGCCCAATGTTTTTTCTTTAGCTTCCCCATCAGCCTTGGGAAGGTTAGTGCGATGGTGAATGCCCGTGAGACCAGTGTAAGAGGTCGGTAATAGCTGATTTCGGGAGAGCTTTTGCGGAGCTCTCTTCTCCTGTGTCCATCTTGTGTGGCTGCTGGCTCCGCCCCCCGTTTTTTTTTTTTTTTAGATTAATTTTATATTATTATTATTTTTTTTTTGTATTTATTAGAGAATTATAGATAGACAGTGTGATTGACATTCACATTTTTTAAAAATAATTCCTTAACTAAACAAAATAACCTTACATTGTTGATAATACTGCTCTCCATAACTTTCCTTGATTGTAGCAGGGGCATTCTCCCACAGATCAGCCACATTCTGAAGATTACGTTCTAGATTAGTAATTGAAGTTTTAAAACCACCAGGTTCTATAATGGAAACCTTTACTCCGAAATTCCAAAGCTCCCTTCTGCAGCGGAGAAGACAAATAGCATAAGAGTAGATTATACATGCTACAGATGTGGAAGTAAAAATATTTTAATTTCAATATAAAATACGTTAAAAGCAGTGAAATAGTAGAGAGTGAAACCACAAATTATATTCTCATCCAAATGCTTTTCCCATTAAGTAAACAAGGCTGCATACTAGTGTACCAGATTTTTTTTTCTTTAAAAATTCTTAATTTTTGGTATGAAATCAAATGTTGACAAAACAGTCAGTCATACACATTTTTACAAAATATTGCATCATAAACTCAGAAGGTGTACATCAGTTCAAAAAGCATGTAGGTATTCAGATTTAGAAACACTTATGAGACACTGTAGGCACCAAGACCACCTCAGCTCATTAAAGTGGTCTGGGTTATGTCTCCCTTTTGCACTTAGTGCTGCAATGTGAAACATTGCAGTTCTACAGAACTGCAATGTTTACATTGCAGCTCTAAGTCTGCCCCAGTGGCTGTTTGCCAGACAGCCGATGGGGGCGCTTCCAAAATCCAAACTGACTTTTGGTCCATTATCTGACTCTGTGCATCCTCACAGACCTCCAGCGTCAGATTTTCCCCATAGGAAAGCATTGAATAATGCTTTTCTATGGGGAGGTTTAATGCCCGTGGCCATTGCCACGCATGCGCATTAGGTTTTCCCTGCTGTCTGACGTCAGCGGGGGAGGAGCGTTGGCGGAGCCTGACCTAGCGCTGAGGGATTCAGGTAAGTGGTGAAGGGGTTTTAACCCCTTCAGCACCATGGGAGAGGGGATAGGGGGACCTATTAACCCTATAGTGCCAGGAAAACAGGTTTGTTTTCCTGGCACTATAGGATCCCTTTACTCCCTGCATGAAGTCCAATATGAACCTCATATGAATTATGCCACAATTAATTGAATAGTAGGTAAATGGCATCAACAATTATGCCTTCATGACTATATGTTAAACAAAAAGAAAGTGAGAGAAACAAATTAAGAAAAAAAACAACAAACATATTGCTGATGTTGCTAAGCTACAACTCCTATGATTCTCTGGCTATCTATTTAATTCAAAGAATTGTGGGAGTTGTAGTTCAGCGCCAGAGTTTGAAGAACCCTGGTATATAAACATGAAATAAAGCACAGGTGAATAATATTTCAAAGGCTTAGGTCTAAGGCACCATAACAACTTTAGCTTATATAATGTTCAGACTAACAGACTAAAATAAATTGATCTAGATTAAAATTCTTATTCTTGAGTAGAACATCTGTTTAAAGATAGACTACAGAGAGTTGTCATTAATGGTAAATGTTTAAGCTGGACAAATGTGGTAAGCGGTGTCCCTCATAGGTCTGTTCTGGGTATACTTCTATTCAACATATTTAAATATGATCTTGAAATAGGCATTGAAAGTCACATTTCTGTGTTTGCAGTGAAGAAGCATGATAATAGGTTAATATGTTTTTGCTTTGTTGCATTCCAGAGGGAGTGGAATTAAGTGACAAAAAAGGTAAGAGTAGAAAAGTAGGTTGCTAGAATAGTTTTCACTGAGGGCTTAGTGTTTTTAAAAAAATATTGTTATTTTGGATGACAGTTGGAGTAGCAAGGAGCAACGTGCAGGGGAAGCTATTAATGGTTTAATTGATATGCTTCCTGAAGAAGTAAATTTTCTATTATTTTTTTAAGGAATGGAGACTGGATGAGAGTCAAACGGAGAAGGTAAATGAGTTCAATAGGAACGGTGCAGCCCTAGAGAAGTCATGAGCATCAGAGGTGAGAATATGGACAGAGGATAGACACAGGACATCGGCAGACATGTGTATTGTGGAGGATAGGTAGGTAGGAGCAGCGTTACGTAGAGATTTGTAAACAAGTATCAGAGTTTTAAATTCAGACCTGAATCTTATGGGAAGCCAATGTAGGGACTAATATCTTAAGAGATGTATCTCTATCAGCTTGCATCTCATATAATATCAGATGCTTCTTACATAGAAACATAGAATGTGATGGCAGATAAGAACCATTCGGCCCATCTAGTTTGCCCAATTTTTTCAAAATACTTTCATTAGTCCCTGGCCTTATCTTATAGTTAGGATAGCCTTATGCCTATCCAATGCATGCTTAGACTCTTTTACTTTGTTAGCCTCTACCACTTCAGCTGGAAGGCTATTCCATGCATTCACTACCCTCTCAGTAAAGTAATACTTCCGGATATTATTTTTTAACCTTTGCCCCTCTAATTTAAGACTATGTCCTCTTGTTGTGGTAGTTTTTCTTCTTTAAAATATAGTCTCCTCCTTTATTGTGTTGATTCCCTTTATGTAGTTAAATGTTTCTATCATATCCCCCCTGTCTCGTCTTTCCTCCAAGCTATACATGTTAAGAGTCTTTACCCTTTCCTTGTAAGTTTTATCCTGCAATCCATGAACCATTTTAGTAGCCCTTCTCTGAACTCTCTCTAAGGTATCAATATCCTTCAGGAGATACGGTCTCCAGTACTGTGTACAATACTCCAAGTGAGGTCTCACCAGTGTTCTGTACAATGGCATGAGCACTTCCCTCTTTCTACTGCTAATACCTCCCCGTATACAACCAAGCATTCTTAACTTTATTACAAGGATAAAGGCCTGTAAACTAATTTAAAAGAATCAGAATTTTTGTGAATTGTAACATGCAGATGACACAAACCTAGGTAGGCAATACAATGTGAGCAGGATATTACTTCAGAGAGATATAGATATATTAGGCCACTCAAATGACATTTAATGTAGAGTAATGCAAAGTAATGCACTTCAGGGTGAAACATTATGCTCTATATCAAGGGTGTCAAACCCTTTTGTTCTGAAGGACCAAATTGTCCACTGAAATAGGTATGGCGGGCCAAATCCTATTGCTAATGTTTTTTTCAAATAAAAAGTGCTTGGTAATAATGAGGTTAAAATGCAAATATTATACTCTTTTAAGGATAAAAAAATAAAGAAAGAACACGATACTTTGATAGACAACTCTTGCATAGGGTTATGATCATGCTTTGCTGTATATTGCATTTGTGTCCACTCACCTTAGACTATCAGAGAAAGCTTCCACCGCAAACTTAGACAGGCAATATCCACCTCCAATTACCACCAACCTCCCTGTACAACTAGCAACATTAACAATCCGGCCCTTAGCTCTTCTTATGAGAGGCAGCATGTTTAGGGTCACATCCACCATACCAAGGACATTCACATTTAGAATTTTAGCAAAATCTTCTTTACACTGCCATTCATTGGGGCCGTTTGGAAATGCACATCCTGCATTGTTTACTAATCCCCACAACCCTGAAAAAATAAAACAATTGTCCATCAGCATAATAAGTAAATGTGCGCATTAGTCCCTATTATTCAATTATAAATATTTGACCTTAGCACAATATGGAGAACATTTCAAAATACCAGAATAATGCTAATAATGCTATATGTATTTGTATAGAATTTTGGAGTTTGAATGCGGAGGTGTGTTTGCATGTTGTGTTGGTGTTTGATTGCTTGGATGCATGCATATACACATATACATTGCCACATACATACTTACACAGATATATATATATATATATATATATATATATATATATATACGTATTAATACACAGATACATACATATAAACACACTGACACATATACACACATAGATACACACACTGACACAAATATATACAAACACATACTGACACATGCACACCCCCTTACATATACACACACAGATGCACACACAAACACATACTGACACATGCACACACTGACACACAGATACACACTAACATGCACACTGACACACACACACACACCTTGACATACATGTTATAAGTATCCTGTTAACATACCTTTAGTGCTCCAGACCCAACACACTCCCATCGACCCCAGCCAGCAGCAGACCCCAAGCAAGCCACCCTCCTGTTTACCTTTAGTGTTCAAGAGGGTGGCTTGCTTGTGGCCTGCTGCTGGCTGGGATTGATGGAAGTGTGGGGTCTGAAGCAGCTTTCAGTAGAAAAGTAGGTGCTTTCAGTAGAAAAGAAGCTAGGAGGAAGTTACATAACGTTTATAACTTCCTCCCTGAGCTGGCAGACCACAGTGCAACTACACAGGTTTTAAAGGCGGTAGTGCCACCACTGACCATATACTCTAATTGAATCCCTATTATTTTGCCTAAGTCAGGTGTTTAAAAAACAAAAACTATTACATTTTGTGAGCTTTTACACTAATGTTTAAGGATGGCACATTTATATGCTGAAGTGCTTTAGTGTTTCTTTTAACATACAGGGTTATTCACTAAACTCAAAATTTTCTAGAATTAAATCTGAATGGAAAAACAGAGGGAAAAATCGCTGACCAAGAAATATTCTTCCACTCATCCATTGTCACATCTTAACTGTTTTGACATTTGGATTTAATATGCAAAACGGAGTTTATTGAATAAGCCTGACTGTTTCCCATTTCTAAGAGAGCTTTCTTTAAAACATAATAAAATTAACTAAAAATATCTCACCTGCATCTCCCACAATATTAGTAACCCACTTGGCAGCAGAGCTTACACTCTGGCAATCAGCAACATCCAGAATTACTGTCTGCAGTCTGCTGGAAGCCTCCTTCTTTAGTTCTTCAGACCCTTTCTCTGTAAGACAAGCTGCCAACACTAGCATCCCATGCTGGTCCAATTGTTTTGCTAGCAAGTTCCCAAATCCAGAATCAGATCCAGTGATCAGCACCCATTTATCAGAGAGATTTTGCAGAATCTTGCTCTGCCTATGCCATCTGTACAGGAGGATCAGAGTGGAAGCTACCATCAGCAGAGGGAGCCACATGATGAAAGAAGTAGCTTTCTATTGTATGTCAAAAATATAAAAAACAAACACAGAAGACAAAAAAGAAATGATAAATATGTGAAATATATATATATATATATTTGTGTCCTGATGAAAGTTACAACTGGGAACTGAAACGTCGACCATTTATGACAATAAATTACTTCACTGAAAATCCAGGAGTGCCGGTAAGCCTTCTATTTTTGTTGTCTAATAGTGTGGCTAGGCACCCAGTGTCATTTATACAAATACCATTTATACAAAAAACTGTGGAAAGTGCGCTTAGGTTATTATTATATAAGATATATATCAGTGTTAGTTGCTGCACACTCTAGTGAGAATCTCTCTTACCCACTCTATTATCAATTATCGTATATATGAGTGGAGCACTCTAGATAAAGTAAATAGAGGGAGGGGGAAAAAAATTATTAATTTACTCCGAATAGGTAATGAGTTATATATATTCAGTACTATGAGATATCAACTCACATTAGTTAGAGCCTCTATAAGTACAGGCTCAAATCTCGTCAGATACTGTGCTGTCTGGTGGCACTTTACCCTTTAATATCAGCGGTTATCCTCAAAAAGATATAAGATAGAGATAGAAACCTCTTATGGTGTAGTATGTTCTGTAACCAATGCTTGTACTATAAAGTGCAGAAAATTGCTCTTTATAGTTCAAGTATTGGTTACAGAACATACTACACCATAAGAGGTTTCTATCTCCATCTTATATCTTTTTGAGGATATCCATTGCTATTGCCAAACTAGTTTTTTTCAAAATTATTTAATACTGATATCTGTCAGGAATCCCTGCATAACCCTTCATATATTTTTTTTAAAGAAGGCACCCTAAGGTATTAAACTTGGGGTATTTTGACTCTTTTCATGCATCTATGTCAAATTAAAAAAATTAATAATAATTGGTGATTTTTTTTACACACGTAGCAATTTAAGAATACATGTACTGAGAAATTTAACCCCTTAAGGACCGAGGACGGTTCAGGACCGTCATCGGCATTTTTGCCTTGCCGACCGATGACGGTCCTGAACCGTCCTAACGGTCTGGGGGTACTTACCTGATCGCCGTCGTTCCCCCGGCGGCGATCAGCGTTGCTCCGGTTGTGGGGAGACTGCCTGCAGCCCAGACAGTCTCCCCACACTGATTAGGACCCCTGTGGCCATGTGATCGCTTAACACAGCGATCACATGGTCACAATAGGTGTCCATGTGTCTGCCTGCAGGGGGACTGCTGTGCTGACAGGCAGTCTCCCTGCAAGTGTAAAATCAAAAAATAAAAATAAAGTTAGTGTTAATTAATTAAAAAAAATAAAATAATTATATATGTGTATATATGATACATAGACATATATTATATCTATATAATATATGTCTATATATCATATATATAATGCCATACTAAGTGTATTTTTATATTAATATGTACTTATATTAATATAAAAATACACTTATAATTAAATTACACACGTATATATAATATATATATAATATATATATATATATATATATTATTATAAAATATAAATAATAAGTAATTTAAATTAAATAATTTTTTTAAATAATAATAAAAATTTAAAAAAAAATTATATATCTATATGAAATTTTATTCTAACTGTATTTTAAAATTAATATATATATATTTATATCAAAATACACTTAGAATAAATTTGTATATATATCTATGTATATAAAAATAAATAAAAATAATAAGAAATATACATACGTCCATATACAAAATTACATAAATAATTATATAAATATATACGTAGACTTCAAATATATAAATATGCATATATATTTAAATTCTACGTGCGTATTTATGTAATATTTTTACATAATTCAGTAATTTTATTGATTGCAATTTGAGGGACCTGCCTGCCAACCCAGGCCGAAATTCCAGAGAATTTAATTTGCTAGCACTGTATTTTACCCTGTAACGTTCGACGACACCCTAAAACCTGTACATGGGGGGTACTGTTTTACTCGGGAGACTTCGCTGAACACAAATATTAGTGATTCAAAACTGTAAAACATATCACAGCGATGATATTGTCAGTGAAAGTGACTTTTTTTGCATTTTTCACACACAAACAGCACTTTTACTGATGATATAATTGTTGTGATAGGTTTTCCAGTTTTTAAACACTAATATTTGTGTTCAGCGATGTCTCCCGAGTAAAACAGTACCCCCCATGTACAGCTTTTATAGCATTTTTGAAAGTTACAGGGTCAAATATATGGGTCAAATATTTTTACATTGAAAATAGCCAGGTTGGTTACGTTGCCTTTGAGAGGCCAATGGTAGCCCAGGAATGAGAATTACCCCCGCTGATGGCGCGCATTTGCAAAAGAGGGCAGCAAAAGGTATTTGCAAAATGGGTGGCCAGTCTTTTGGTAACCGCGGTCACAAACACTGGCCCGGAAATTCCAGATTTCAATTGGTTTTTGCTGCACACGAAAACAAATACTTGAATGCTTACTTTGTGATGTTCCTCGACTCAAATGGCTACTAAAAGACTGGACTTATACCAATAGCCTCTACAGGGTTTATCTACTTCAAAAAACTCTATGTGGGGTGTTATTCAGGGAATTTGCGGCAGATAAGCATTGTTTCACAATGTCACTATTATTCATTACAAAAATGTATGTTTTGAAACGCTTGTCTCTACTTCATTTTCAAAGCCCTATAACATGCAAAAAAAAGCAAAAAAGCATGTAAACACGGGGTATTTTTAAACTCAGGATAAAATTTTGAATCTATTTAGCAGTTTTTTTAATTCGCTTTTGTAGATGAGTAAAAGATTTTTCAAGTAAAAGTCAAAAAACATGTATTTTTTTCAATTTTTCATCAGATTTTTGTATTTTTTAAATTAAAATACATGAGATTATATAAATAATGGTATGTAAAGAAAGCCCCTTTTGTCCTGAAAAAAACAATATATAATTTGTATGGGAACAGTAAATGAGAAAGCGAAAAATTACAGCCAAACACAAACACCACAAAAGTGTAAAAATATTCCTGGTCGCAAATGTACAACATCGCAAAAACAGTCCAGTCCTTAAGGGGTTAACGGTTACTACCAAAGAACACCCCGATATGTGTTCAGCAACATTTCCTGAATACAGTGATACCACCCATGTATAGGTGTGTCGGGTTCTCTGGGGGCTAAAATACCTTATTTGGAGGGTGTGCATTGCAGTTTTCCCACTTGGTACAGAGAGCAGCACTATACAGGGAGCACTGACTATCAGGGGATATTATACACACAATTACCTGTTATATACAGAGAGCAGCACTATACAGGGAGCACTGACTGTATAATACAGATCTATGTGTGTATAATATTCTGGGACAGAGAGCAGCATTATACCGGAAGCACTGACTGTCCCAGGATATTATACACAGACCTTTATTATACAAAAAGCAGCACTATCCAGGGAGCACTGGTTGTACCAGGATATTATGCACAAAGACCAGTATTATCGATAAATTATCGATAATATTAATCTTATATTTATTGGTACCTCCAATAAATGCAATACATACAATACATACACACAGACTGCTGAACACATTCACACACAGACTGCTGAGTACATACACAAAGACTGCTGAATGCACTCCAGCTGCTGAATACACACACACATACAAAGTGCATACACACAGTACACTGAATACACACACACAGAGACTGCTGAACACACATACACACACAGACTGCTAAATACACACACACATACACACACACAGACTGGTGAATACATACAGACTGCTGAATATACACACTGCTGAATACACACACACAAGCTACTTTATATATACACACACAGTATCTCACAAAAGTGAGTACACCCCTCACATTTTTGTAAATATTTTATTATATCTTTTCATGAGACAACACTGAAGAAATTACACACTGCTACAATGTAGTTCAAAGTAGTAAATGTAAAGCCTGTATAACAGTGTAAATTTGCTGTCCCCTCAAAATAATTTAACACACAGCCATTAATGTCTAAACCGTTGGAAACAAAAGTGAGTACACCCCTAAGTGGAAATGTTTGAGGATGCCCCACACATGCTTAATAGGGTTTAGGTCTGGAGAAATGCTTGGCCCATCTATCACCCAGGGGCGGACTGACCACTCGGGCACATCAGTCATGGACCGAGGGCCTGAGACAGTCGGGCCCGGCCGCACAGCCATGCTCCAGCTGGAGAGACCAGAGATCTCTCCAACTGGAACAAAAAAATAATAAAATAAAACAATTTCATTGATAGGTTGTGGGGCCCCTGATGGAGCACAGGGCCCCACAACCTACCGCTCTGCAAGTCACTCCCCCCCCCCTCAAGGCAGCTTCACCAGCTCTCTCTGCCAGGTCTCCTTCCTGTCCCATGTGGCTCTGTGTGATGGGAGAGGTGGGGCTAGGAAGTGACCTCACTTCCTGTTTACTCCTCTCACACAGAGCCCGATCAACGAGGTGAAGGAGCAGCAGCCTGGGAGACCAGAGGGAGCAGAGAGACAGGTAGGCACTAATCACCCCACCTCCGTGTCACTAGTCACCCCCCGTGTTACTAGTCACCCCCCACTGTGTCACTAGTCACCCCGTGTCACTAGTCACACCCCCACTGTGTCACTAGTCACCCCGTGTCACTAGACCCCGTGTCACTAGACCCCCCGTGTCACTAGTCCACCCCCATTTGTGTGCTGTGCCCCATGTATAGTCACCCCCACTGTGTCACTTCAGGTCCCTTTACTGTGTCAATGATCCTCTCCCCTCGCTGTGGTAGTAGTCACCCCCCTCACTGTCACTGAGTCACCCCCCCTCGGTCACTAATCACTTACCTCCCCTCCCACTCTGTCACTAGTCACCCCTCCTCTGTCACTAGTCACTCCCCTCTGTCACTAGTCACCCCCCTCCCTCTGTCACTGTCACCCCCCCACTCTGTCACTAGTCACCCCCTCCCTCCCTCTGTCACTAGTCACTCCCTCCCTAACTCTGTCACTGTGTCACCCCCTCTGTCACTAGTCACCCCTTCCCTCACTCACTATGTCACCCCTTCCCTCACTCACTATGTCACCCCTTCCCTCCTTCACTTTGTCGCTAGTCACCCCTTCCCTCCCTTACTCTGTCGCTAGTCACCCCTTCCCTCCCTTACTCTGTCACTAGTCACCCCCTCCCTAACTCTGTAACTAGTCACCCCCTCCCTCTAACACTGGTCATCCCCTCCCTCACTCTGTCACTAGTCACCCACTCTAGTGACAGAGTGATGGAGGGGGTGACTTGTGACAGAGTTAAGGAGGGAGTGACTAGTGACAGAGGGAGGGATGGGGTGACACAGTGACAGATGGAGGGGGTGACTAGTGACAGAGGGAGGGAGTGGGTGACTAGTTACAGAGTGAGGGGGTGACTAGTGACAGAGTTAGGGAGGGAGTGACTAGTGACAAAGGGAGAGATGGGGTGACTAGTGACAGTCACCACCTCCCTCACTCTGTCACTAGTCACCATCTCCCTCTCTGTCACTGTGTCACCACCTCCCTCTGTCACTAGTCACCCCCTCCCTCATTCTGTCACTAGTCACCCCCTCCCTCTCTAGTCACCCTCCCTCTGTCACTAGTCACCCCTCCCTCACTCTGTCACTAGTCACCCATTCCCTCCCTCACTCTGTCACTAATCACCCCCTCACTCTGTCACTAGTCACCCCCTCCCTCACTCTGTCACTAGAGTGAGAGGGTGACAAGTGACAGAGTGAGGGGATGACTGGTGACAGAGTGAGGGAAGGGGTGACTAGTCGCAGAGTGAGGGAAGGAAGGGTTGACTGGTGACAGAGTGAGCGGATCACTGGTGACAGAGTGAGGGGATGACTGGTGACAGAGTGAGAGATGGGATGACTGGTGACAGAGTGAGTTAAGGGGTGACTAGTGACAGAGTGAGGGACGGAGGAGGTGACTAGTGACAGAAGGAGGGAGGGAGTAGTGACAGAAGGAGGGAGGGAGTAGTGACAGAGGGAGGTGGTGACTAGTGACAGTCACCAACTCCCTCACTCTGTCACTAGTCACACCTTCCTTCCCTCACTCTGTCACCCCTTCCTTCCCTCACTCTGTCACTAGTCACCCCCTCACTCTAGTGAGGGAGGTTGTGACTAGTGACAGAGAGAGGGAGGGGGTGACTAGTGACAGGGAGAGGGAGGGGGTGACTAGTGACAGAGTTAGGGAGGGAAGGGGTGACTAGTGACAGAGGGAGGGGGTGACTAGGGACAGTCACCACCTCCCTCACTCTGTCACTGTGTCACCCCCTCCCTCTGTCACCAGTCATCCCTTCCTTCCCTCACTCTGTCACCAGTCATCCCCTCACTCTGTCACCAGTCACCCCTTCCTTCCCTCACAGTGACAAAGTTAGGAAGGGGGTGACTAGTGACAGAGGGAGGGGGTGACTAGAGCCAGAGGGGGTGATTAGTGATAGAGTGAGTAAGGGGGTGACTAGTGACAGAGGGAGGGAGGGGGGTAACACAGTGACAGAGTGAGGGGGTGACTAGTGACAGAGTGAGAGAGGGAGTGACTAGTGACAGAGTGAGGGAGCGGGTGACACAGTGACAGAGTTAGGGAGGGAGTGACTAGTGACAGAGAGATGGATGGGGTGACTGACCCCCTCCCTCCCTCTGTCACTAGTCACCCCCTCCCTCTGTCACTAGGCACTCCCTCATTCTGTCACTAGTCACCCCTTCCCTCCCTCTGTCACTAGTCACCCCCTCTCCCTCCCTCTGTCACAAGTCTCCCACTCCCTCACTCTGTCACCAGTCACCCCCCCTCACTGTGTCTCCCCCTCACTCAGCCACCACTCAACCCCTCCCTCCCTCACTCTGCCACCAGGTACTCCCTCATTCTGCCACCTGTCACAACCCCCCACACTCTTCCACCTGTCACCCTCTCCCTCACACACTCTGTCACCTGTCACATATGCATTCACACAGACACTATATACAAAAAAGCACATGTAGTTATCCAGACATGCACAAGTGCATTCACACAGACAAAGGAATGCTGTATAATGAGAGTTATATTTAACATTTATTTAATGCACATATATTTGGCCTTCAAAGGGCCTGGGATCTAATTTTGCCCAGGGGCCCCAAAGGCGCTCAGTCCGCCCCTGCTATAACCTATACCTTCAGCTTCTTTAGCAAGCAGTGGCCACCTTGGAGGTGTTTTTGGGGTTGTTATCATGTTGGAATAATGCCCAGCAGCCCAGTCTCCAAAGGGAGGGGATCACGCTCTGCTTCAGTATGTCACAGTACATTGTGGAATTCATGGTTCCCTCAATGAACTGTGTCTCCACAGTGCCTGCAGCACTTATGCAGGCCCAGACCATGACACTCCCACCACCATGCTTGACTGTAGGCAAGACACACTTTGTACTTTGTACTCCTCACCTGGTTTATCTTGGTCTCATCGGACCACAGGACATGGTTCCAGTAACCCATGTCCTTAGTCTGCTTGTCTTCAGCAAACTGTTTGTGGGCTTTCTTGTGCATCACCTTTAGAAGAGGCTTCCTTCTGGGACGACAGCCATGCAGACCAATTTGATGCAGTTTGCAGCGTATGGTCTAAGCACTGACAGGCTGACCCCTCACCCCTTCAACCTCTGCAGCAATGCTGGCAGCACTCATTTGTCTATTTCTCAAAGACAACCTTTGGATATGACGCTGAGTACGTGCACTCAACTTCTTTGGTCAACCATGGCTAGGCCTGATCTGAGTGGAACTTGTCCTGTGAAACCGCTGTATGGTCTTGCCCACCGTGCTGCAGCTCAGTTTCAGGGTCTTGGCAATCTTCTTATAGTCTAGCCCTAGGCCATCTTTGTGTAGAGCAACAATTATTTTTTTCAGATCCTCAGAGAGTTCTTTGCCATGAGGTTCCATGTTGAATTTCCAGTGACCAGTATGAGAGAGTGTGAGAGCGATAACACCAAATTTAACACACCTGCTCCCTATTCACACCCGGGACCTTGTTACACTAACGAGTCACATGACACCGGGGAGGGAAAATGGCTAATTACTCCCAATTTGGACATTTCCACTTAGGGGTGTACTCACTTTTGTTGCCTATGGTTTAGACATTAATGGCTGTGTGTTGAGTTATTTTGAGGGGACAGCAAATTTACACTGTTATACAGGTTTCATACTTACTACTTTACATTGTAGCAGAGTGTCATTTCTTCAGTGTTGTCACATGAAAAGACATAATAAAATATTTACAAAAATGTGAGAGGTGTACTCACTTTTGTGAGATACTGTATATATATATATATTATATAGTAGGAGATATATTATAATAAGGGTTAATTTAATAATTAATAAAATATGAACAGATATTAAAATAGAGCCCTTAGTTAATTATAATATATTCAGAATACCACAATTTATATAATTGGCAATAGTCTCTGATTCTATATATTAGCATATCCGTTAGGTGACTGGACACACGATTTGTGTCACATTAGATTTTGATTTAGGCCCCTTTAAATTATTTTATAGAGTTAATTAATGTATTCCACCTTTAGTACTGCAATCAATATTATAGTAAAGGAGAAGTCTCCAAATGTAGGTGTAAAAGGACTAAAAAGCCCCACACCTTTATGTGCATAATTAAGGCAGTATTCTATTAAGTTGGATTCAGTCCCTCAATTTTTAAGGGTAAAAGTAAAATATCTATATATTGATAGGAGCCGTAATAAATTTGGTATAGTATTTAGGCTTGTTTCTAATATTTATCTAATAGTGACCCAATGGATTTATTTAGTTATATGCAGATAACATTTTGTTTTAATTCCTTTTCTTTTTCTTGCTGTAACACGATTTGCTCTTCACTAGGTTATAGCTTGTCACATTGTAGTTACAGCTTTCTTAGAACGAAAGCTGTAAACGTTGCCATGGACACGACGTCATCGACGTCATTACGCATGGAACGGAGGTCAGCGTGGGGGCGCACGGTAGTACGCACATGCGCGGTGTCACTTTTAATTAATGTTATTAGGTATATATTTGAGTAGTTATAGATTGTATTTGTACTGTTTGATCCTGATGAAGGTCCCTGCGTGGACCGAAACGTTGATCGTTTTTGTTTCTTGGATGGAATAAACCACATTTGAAATTCAAAAGTCCGTGAGTGCAGCCTGCTTTGTTTTGTATATATATATATATATATATATATATATATATTTATTTATATTCACACACAGACTGCTGAACACATGCACAGACAGACTGCTGAATACACACACACGTACAGGGTGAATACAGACAGTTCACTGAATAAACACATAGACTGCTGAATACACACACACACAGACTGCTGAATACTCACAGACTGCTGAATACATACGCAGACTGCTGAATGCACACAGGCTACTTTATACACACACACGGACTGCTGAATACACACACAGACTGCTGTGAGGGGTGCAGTGTATGTGTTTTTGTTTAGGGGTGCTGTGTGTATAAGAGTGTTGTGTGTGAGCGGTGCAGTGTGTGTGTGTGTAAGGGGCACAGTAAGTGCAGAGTGCTGTGTGTGCGTGAGAGATGCTGAGTGTGTGAGAGGTGCTGTGTATGTGTGTCAGGGGTGCTGTATGTGTGTGTGAGAGGTGCTGTGTGTGTGATGGGTGTGTGAGAGGGGTGCAGTGTGTGACAGGTGCTGTGTTTGCGTGAGAGGTGCAGTGTGTTTGTGTGACGGTACTGTGTGTGAATGTGATGTGTGTGTGTGCTGGGGTGCTTTGTGTCAGGGGAGCTGTGTGTGTGTGTAAAGGGGTGCTGTGCCCTGGTGGTCTGGTGGTGGTGAGTTGTCACAAGCTCACTACAGACAAGCTCACACACAAGCTTTCTCACTAGCAGGCACACACACACACACACACACACACACACACAAAAGCTTTCTCACTAGCAGGCACACACACACCTGAGTATATCAAGCCTACCAGGCACTGGAGGCTGTTGCTGGGATGTCAGGTAGCCATTTTCTGCAGCTAGGTCTACTGCTTAAAATGGGGCAGAGCTTGATGGCGGGATGCGGAGCTTGCGTGCATGGGTGGAGCTTATGGTGTGGGAGCGGGGTCTGCATCAAAAGGGTGGCAGTCAGTGCTCCCTCCAGCCCCAGCAGCTCCCAGCATCTCTCTATAGCCCCCAGCATCTTCCAGCAGCTCTGTCCTGAATTACCTCGGACTGCAACAGGCTGTTACAGTCAGAGGGAAAATAATAAAAGCACATGGCCCAGCAATTTGCCGGGACTGTCCCGGGAGAGTAAATTGCCCGGGACAGACTCCAGCTTGCCGGGACTGCCCCGGCAAAAACGGGATAGTTGGCAACCATCAGCTTATAGGATGTATTTTGACTTTGCACCCAAATAGCACCTGATCTTCTTTGTTAGATCACCCATAATATCACACCTCTAAATACCCACTTTTACAACCCTGCCACCTATCACTGAATTATATTTTCTTCATAACACTACTCCTGTAAACTAATTGACTGCTTTGAGCAATCCTATGGCAGTTAAAAAAAAAATAAATAAATAAAAAAAAATAAAATAAACCTTTCCATATATACACCTAAGGCTACAAAAATGCTTACGTAAAAAATTGAAAATGTTAGGAAATGTCTGCTGAATAAAGAAGAAGCAGTCAGATGCAACACCCTGAAAAATGTGAACACAACAACTTCATGCACAAACATAAGCAGATGTACCCACATGTGCCAGGAGACACAAGCATACCGAGGCATTTATGCAATTTTAAAACAAACATATTTCACTCTGCAGTTTTGATTATTCTCCGCCTCTCAATTTTAGTAATTACAGTTTGTCTATCACTACTTGTTTGCTATAATATTTGTGATATTATACAAAACAGCTGTTGCTTTCTAAACAGGTATTGCACATTAACTTTAGGAACTATTGCAATCAGTTCTTTATGCCGTTCCAACAATTTTCTCATACCTGACAATCTTCCCTACCCACTCTGCGGAATGGAGGAACGTAAGGTAACAAGCAGGCTTCAGTACTGTGCAAGGGGTAGGTCTGCCCATTAAGGAGGCAAGGCTTTGGCTGAAGAGAGTGGCAAGGCAGATTGACAGCCTGCCCGTTCAAGGCAGGCCATGCATGGAGTGCATGTTTCTAGTGCCCAGTTCCTTCCTGTTTTTTGGGATCTGTTGTTACAGTGCCGTACAATTCAGGATGTTACAGTAAATTCAGGACTTTTGGCACCTATTCTGCTTTATAGGAAAGCAGTGTCCTGCCAGTTTGGATTTCTGATGTAAGGCTTCTAAAGCATAAGCCTCTGGGGCAAGGGCTCATTCTTTTCTCTGCTAACTCCAGGACATATTCCCTATGTAAGAGTACTTCCGCTTGCTGTGGGGAGATTGGTTTGCAGGCAGCTGCACTGGCATGCCTGTTTCTGGAGACATGTTTGTAATTGTTGATTAAATTTGCTTTAACCCTTTAACCCCTTAAGGACCAAACTTCTGGAATAAAAAGGAATCATGACATGTCACACATGTCATGTGTCCTTAAGGGGTTAAGGACAGAGGCAATTGTCCAAGTTCTGAACCAAAACAAAACCTTGAATGTGAGCTATAGATTTGTTCCAACACAATTTTACGGGACAATATAGTCACCAAAACTACTTTAGCTTAAAGAGACACTATAGGCACCCAGACCACTTCATCTCAAGTCGTCTGGGTGTGATGTCCCTCTCCCGCTTAGTCCTGCAATGTGAAACATTGCAGTTTTACAGAAACTGCAAAGTTTACATTGCAACACTAAGACAGCCTCTAATGGTTGTCTACTAGACAGCCACTAGAGGTGCTTACAGGATTTTACCAGTCTTTAGGTGATGCTGGACATCCTTACACTCTGCCTGAGGAAATTCAGCATCATTGAAAACCAGATAGGAAAGCATTGATTCAATGCTTTCCCATATTGAGGGCCTAATGCACTTTCCACGCATGCGCATTAGACCACCACATCAGACCCAGCACCAAGGAAGACTGGTGCTGGGATCGGGTGAGTAAATAAAGGCTTTTTAAACCTTTATGTACTGCAATTGGGTGGTGCGAGGGAAGGGGAAGGCAGAGGGAAGTTGTCACCGGTTTGCAAGGTCTCGCAAGTGTCCCTTGATTGCCGCTTCTCTGATAATCCGCTGGTCCTGGATTCATCTACAGCATAATATAATTCTAACCCTCTTGAACATTGTAAAATTCCTCAATATAGTGGACAGGACCAGTCGTATTGGATAAAAGAAAACAGTCTGTCTATTTCAGAGAAAAACACATGCGCTTATGCACAGCCACCATGCAAGGGGTTTCCAACCCAATCCTCCAGGTCAATAACTCCCATGATCCTCAGTGTCTGAAAGGCAATTCAATCCCCTTTCAAGTACAGAGAAATCCTTCACAGAAAACAATTACCACATTCTGAAACACTCCAAAAGTACATTTACAAAAAGGGCTAATTTGATTGCATGGGCTGAGACATTAGACAACACAAAGTATACTTAAGGGAACACGCACGAGGAGTCCCATCTCCCGTGACATTCATCTCCCTTTTGGAGAGGACTGCCAGGGGTTACTCTAAGTGCGGTTATACATGTCCTTGCTGGAACTTTCCATCAGCATTGCGGTTGTCTTTGCCAGGCCTGTAGTCTGTGGGCTAGCTGTTATGCCTCTCCAGCAAGTTGTGGCATGGGGGCTTCCGTGACATATTCACTGCTGTCTGGAGTGGATAGTCTGTTCGTGCCATGCCCGCAACAGCACTGGTCCTTAGCCAGCCCCTACAGTCCTGGGGTCTGGCCAGCTTTGCACCCTGAACCCTCCTAGGTACAGGGTGACCTAAACATAAAGCACCTTCAGCCAGGGAGGCTGCCCACCCTCTGGTACACAGGAGTCTCTGAGCCCGTAAAACCCCCCACCCAAACAAGTGTGCCCCCCACCCCCGGCTATTCCCTCACCTGGGTCTCGGTAGTTTTCCCCGGTTGGTTGAGGATGATGTTCGTTGTTTGTTGAGTCCGTCACGGCTCTGCTTCCCGTGAGTCACTGGGGTTATGGTTGGCCTGTGGGGGGAAGAGCCAGCTGCGCTCTCCCCCTTGGATCACACTCAGCTGCTGGGGAGCGGGACGGGTGCCCGGGGACCATCGCTCCAGTAGGTAGAGCCCATTTGCCCTCGGCCCAGAGGCCCGCACCTCTGCCCCTATTTGCTTCCTGGGCTTAGGCACCAAGGGTGGGCGGAGAATCCTGCCCTCTGCCCGGAGGCATGGACTGCCACTCTTATTCGTTTTGGAGGCCCTGCACGGCTGCCAGGGCCCAGCTCAGGTATCAGGGGTGGGCAGAGGTTACCTCCCCTCTGCCTGGAGGCCTGCGCCCCCACTGCTATCACTTGCTGGGGCCCTACAAGGGTGGGCAGAGGCCATCAGGACTCTGCCCGGAGGCCCGCGCCCTCACACCAAACTGCCCTCCAGACCCTCCTGGATGGCTAGGGTCATGAACCAGGGGAAGGGGAGAGCAGAAGCTGGCTGCGCTCTGCTCAGATGTGGGAGCATCCTGGAGGGAAGGGGTAGCAGCAGCCGTAGTCTCGCTTGCTTGCTACCCGCTAACCAGACCATAACAGGTCGCCGGGGTCAGCCTCAGGATCTTGTGGGTAGAGACCAGCGGTGCTCTGCCCTGATGCCAACTCTTCCACTGGGTTTGCACTCTGCCGCTGGAGAGGGAGACCGGTTGTCTCACCTCCCTGGAACACAATCTGTCGTTGGGGAACAAGACCAGTTGTCTCCATTCCCTGGACCTCACACTGCTACTGAGGCACGAGACCAGTTGTCTCTGCTCCCTGGACCTCACACTGTCGCTGGGGAACGAGACCGGTTGTCTCCGTTTCCTGGACCTCACACTGCTGCTGGGGAGGAAGGATGGAACGCTTCTCTCCCTGGGATGCACTCTGCTGCTGGGGAACAGGACCGGTTGTCTCCGTTCCCTTAACCTCACACTGCCGCTGGGGAGTAAGAACAACACCCAACCCTTCCGGCTCTGCAAAATCCACAAGCTCCATCATTTCCGAGACAGGTGGTGTCATATGGTGAAACAGGCTTACATAGTCCTGTTCGAGCTCCCTCTCCAGGTTAGCAAGAAAAGTCAGGTCCAGTCCCAGGCTGGTAGCTTCCGAGAGATCATGCAGGACCTCCCTGTTGTCACGAATATCCCAGAAGTGAAACTCTCCAGGGCTTCCAAACTCAATGTCATCATAGACCTCCCACAATAAGCCAGGGCCAACATAGTCCTCACCCTCCGAAGGGTTGTCGTCTGTGAGCCACGAGTTCTGCGGGTAACCATTGTACAGAGAAATTATTTACAGAAAACAATTGCCACATTCTGAAACACTCCAAAAGTACATTTACAAAAAGGGCTAATTTGATTGCATGGGCGGTCAGAGCCTACAACCCACGGGTAACCATTGTCCAGACACAGTTCTCTCCAGTTCAGTCACCCATTCCTTCAGAGGCTGCTCTTCCAGAAAGGGCATCCGCATATCCAGTTGACCTTGATATCGCTGTTCTGGGATTGAGAGGAATTTCTGAAGAACCTGTACTTCCACGAGGACCTTGCTCCAGAGTTCCCTTTGGATCTGGTTCCTAAGATCCTGATCACACTCTCCTAGGATTGTGCCATCCAGGGATGTATTAAACATGAGGCAAACAAGACATTTGCCTTGGGCGGCATCTTCCAGGGGGCGGCAAAAAAAGCCGCCCCCAAATGCCCAGGGAAAATGTCTTGTTAGCCTTGCGGCTAACTGACAAGCTGGGCGGGCGGCACTGGTGAGGGAGCACTTTCCCCTGAGCGCTCTGCTCAGCTCACTCGCACGCCACATTACAGCTCTGTGCATAACTCTGTGGCACGCGAGGGAGCTGAGCAGAAAGCTCAGGGGGAAGTGCTCCCTCGCCAGTGCCGCCCAACCGACCGACCAGCAGCCACCGAACCCCAGGGAGAGGGAGAACCCCACCCAGCATTCCCAAAGGTAAGGAGGCTGGGTCGGTTGAATTTTTTAAAGAAAATGTGAGTGTGTTAATGTGTGATTGAGTGTGTGTGTCTATTAGTGAGTGAGTGTGTGTGTTAATTATACTTGATCTAAATAAGATTTTGATAGTTAACGCTAACCCTACACCAACCTCCCCACTAAAGCTAAACCAACTATACACCTAAGCATTACACTAACTGTAGACCTAATCTAAATTTTTTTTTAGTTCTTTATTTTTGCGTGCAAAGAACAAGCAGTTACAGATGCGTTTGTAATCCCACAACAGCATATATTCACATTTGAACAATAAATATTAAATTGGTAAGGCATGGCATGGATACACAATGCACATTTTTTATATAATGACATGAAGATTAGTCAAGAAAAAGTTCATATTTGAAAACATGCTGGCATCAGCCTGAGACATTAATTGAAGCAACTAAGTTTAAGACACAAGAAACAGGAGATTATATGTACGTGTCTACTAAAAGTAGAGGATGAAAACACAAAAGATGTAATAGCGCCAAGTTGGGGGTGGGGAAGGCAGCACACCTAGACGGGTAAGTCTCTCCTAAAAACCCAAACGAACAAACAATAATACAAAGCAATAGGGTGCGCCACGGGGTTAGGGATTAAGGGGATACTCAATAAGACAAATGATAAACAGATAATACACTTTCAATAAGATAACATAAAATCTTAAATATGTATAAAAGACAAGCAAAGAGTAGAAAGTGTAGAAAAGTATATAAACGTTTGCCTGTATTGTCAGGTAAATATGTCTTCCAGGTAATCAAAGTCCAGGGACATAAAAGAAAAGAAAGAGTACCAATAGTGAAATATGTATAAAATAAAATAAAAACTCCAATAAAAGGAAATCCAAAATGGCCTACTCACATACGGTAGAGCTAAAACCAGCTCTAGTGTGAAGTGCTTGCAGTGGATTTATTCCCCCACTTCAGGGATATGGTGTAAGGTATTGGCCAGTACGTATCTTGTCGGCAGGTAATATGTGAAAATAAAAGCAAGGGGTGCAAGACTAGTGCTCTCTGTATAAAATGATAAAACCAGGAGTAAAACTAAATGAATAATACTCACATTTAACTGAGCAGATAGCCCGCTCAGTACAATCAGCGTGGGTGGTATAATCCCCACCAAGGATACTTTGTGAGGTCCTCACTGGAATAATAAAAAACTGGATGCCAGGTGCAAAAAGGAAGAAAAAGGGTATTTGGTACTAATAGTGATAGTAAAAGTTACCAAAAACCTTTATAAGAACAATAACAATGATAAAATTAGTCCCCAACGCGTTTCACCCACACTGGGCTTTTTCAAGTTGTAATCAAGCATATACCTGCCAAGTACAGTCTTATATAGGATAAAATACAAGGAAAATTCAAATTTGGCGGTAAAATGACGTCCTAGTCACGTGTTTGCGACCATGATATACAGTTGTACATATAAAATGGTCTAAAAGCTTTTAATATGTTAAAATCTGATTTAAACATGTTACATGAAGTTAAAATGATATAAAAACAAGGGTTTAAATGAATAAGAAATAACAAATAAAAAGTAGGTGTGGCCAGAAGATTGACATCAATAATGGACGTGAGATGGAAAGGAAGCTTGGGAAATGTAGTGACAAGGGGCAGGGGGTGCGACACTGCTTGCGTCATAGACAATCAATGGGGGACGTGGGCAGGATGAGAGGGGAGTGAGCTTGAACAATAAAGAAATAAAGTGAAGCATAAAAGTTAAATTCCGCAATGTGGGTGGCTTAAATGAATATAAACTAAATAGAAGTGGGACAATAAGTAAGGAAAAGATAATCGAGTAGCAATATGGTGATGAAGGGAATTAGTAGGATGCCGAGGGTCACGTGACCAACCTCGGCTATTACTGAAGAGTGTGAAAGTTACAAGTTAAAAAAGAGGGGAGGTGCTGGAGGAGTGTAAAGCTACAAGAACGCGGCCAGCACGTGCATTATATAAACATTGGCCAGATACTATTAAAATGGATATAAATAGGAAAAAAGGGGGGATATAAGAGAGATGGTGAAGGGAAGTGTAAGTGGGAATAAAGAATAGTGAAATTGACTAATAAATGAATAAAGAAAAATAGATAAAAATATAAAGATAATAAAATAAATAAAAAATGAAATAAAGTTAAATAAATAGATTAAAATAAGGATGAAATATAAAAAAATAATAAATAAAAAAAATGAAAAATAAACAAGGAGAAAGGGGGAGGGAAAAAAAGGGAAGGGAAAATATGGGTGATGACTATGGAACTGGGAGGAAATAGTAGGAAATTAGATAATTAATAGAGTGAGGAGAGTAGATGGTGGAATAAAGGGAAAACAAATAAAGAAAAAAAGAGTGAATAAAATAAGATAAAATATTAAAAGAGAGACCATAAAATAAAAGAGGGGATGAATATGGTTATAAAAAGTGGTAGAAAAAGAGAAATAAATAAGTCTAAACAGGGCTAAAAAATACAAATAATCAGTAATGTAACACATTTTATGTAGAATAAAACACAGTGTACATAATCTATAGGAAATTAAAAAGGTCAAAGTCTGCGTTAAGACCCTCTGGGGTCAAAGTTCGCAAGTTAAAAACCCATTCCATCTCATTTTTACCAAGTATATTGCGGATATTGCCTCCTCTCCAGGGAATGTTACGTTTTTGGATACGCGTAAATGTAAGAGGTTTTGGGTTATTATGGTGTGCACAAAAATGTTTTGAGACCGTATGGTTTTCATACCCTTTAGTGATGTTGTGACAATGTTCAGCTATTCTAATTTTAAGGCATCTGGAGGTCATGCCTACGTATTGGAGTCCACATGGGCATTCCAACATATATATAACATTCTTAGTGTCACATGTTATAAAATCCTTTATTTTGTAAGTTTTTTTTAGTAATATTAGAACAAAAATTAGTAATTTTGTTAGGCACTGTGTCAGTAGTTCTACAAACAATACATTTAAAAAAACCTTTAAAATCTGATAGTGTCGATTTCTTTTTAGTGGTAATTGGTCTGGTAAAATTATTGGTCAAAATGGACTTAAAATTAGGGGCTCCTCTGAATATAATATTAGGCTTGTTGGGAATAATATTCTTAAATATGTCGTCCTGTTGCAGAATGTTCCAATGCGTATTTATAATCTTTTTTATTTCTTTATTTTTATTATTATAATCAAAAATAATGGGTATGGATGGAGCATCTTTATTTTTATCTTTATAGGTTAAAAGTGTATTCCTATGTTGGGTCTCTATTTGGTCAATGACAGTGTTGAGATCGTGTTCTGGATGATCTTTTTTGATAAATTGGTCTTTTAAGATTGAGGATTGCCTTTCAAAGTCTTCAAGTTTTGAGCAATTCCTTCTAAGTCTTAAAAACTGACTTTTCAGAGCGCTATCCAGCCATGATTTGTAGTGGCAACTGTTTCTATTAATGACAGTGTTTGTACACACTTCTTTAAAAAAAATTCTAGTATTGATTTCCCCCCAAAAATTAATAACTTCCTTACTGTAGTTTCTCTGACAGTGTTTGTACACACTTCTTTAAAAAAATTTCTAGTATTGATTTCCCCCAAAAAATTAATAACTTCCTTACTGTAGTCTGAAGTGAGAACAATTCCTTTATCATTATTATTAAGGCGGTTTAAAAAATATTAAGAGATTCCGCCGACCCATCCCAGATAAAACATAAGTCATCAATATAACAGAAATATGAGACTAGGTTTGCCTTCCAAGCATGGTCACTCCAAATAGCTTGTGTCTCCCAATCTGTCATGAATAGATTTGCATAGCTTGGGGCAAACCTAGTCCCCATAGCAGTGCCTTGCTTCTGAAGATAAAAGCTATCTAAAAACCAAAAATCATTATTATTTAAAATAATCTCAATACCTTCTATAATAAAATAAATTTGGGAATTAGGAATCTTATTTTCTTCTTTCAATATCCTGGTGACTGCTTCATATCCCATATGGTGGGGAATAATGGTATAAAGGGATTGTACATAACAGGTCACCAGGATATAATTTGATTGCCAGATAAAACTATTTAAAAACTGTAATAGAATTATAATGGAAGATACCTTGACTCCAGGCTCAAGCCACTAAGATGACCAGATATCCAGTCTGTTTTTACTTTCATGTTATGCTTTTTAACTTTTAGTCTAGTTTTGAGTGTCTGACAAATAGGAACAAGTAAGCATAAAATCATGACTTGTGACATTCTGTGGTTTCTGAGGAGACGATTGCAGCTTTCCCCTTAACCCCCTTCTTATGTCCTAATGTTTTTATATATATATAACCATTGAAATATGCTTAATTCTGTAAATTCCTTTTATGGAAGTGTGACTTTACCCATCCAGTTTTTGTCGCGCAAGTCACAAAGCTGTTTTTACAAAGTACTATAAAATCTGTAAGTTTATGAAATAAAACGGGAAGTAATCTTTGAATCAAAACTGTCTGGTTTGATCTGATTTCTACTAGCAGCTCGTAATAAAAGTGTCAATTTGGACATATCTCCGGGTAAATTAATATCTGTTTCAGGACAAAGAGTCTTTTACATACGATTTCATATTTTTAACTGCAGGCTGTAATAAAATATCTAGATATTCTGATAAATTGGATAAAACGGAGTGTATACCAGAAACAATGGGACGATCAAACCTTTCAAACACTTTCAACCCTTCCTGGACATTTATAAATTTACCAGATAAGCCAATTTAAAAAGATTATTTTGTGAAAAAGACTCAACCTATCACAAATACCCCTCACACTTTTCCAACCCAAGAACCAACATTTATCTCTACCTATCTTAAAGCAAATTCTAAATTCTATCCTTCCAGTTTTAGATCAGGACCAATTGAAGTTTTTGAAAAACTTATTTTAAAAGATTTTAATGACATTAAAAGGCATAAGTCGGACTATTATAATTTAAATCCCCAAGAAAAAAGGGTTCTAAAACAACTTCAGAAAGACAAGGACATTATCATAAAACCAGTGGACAAAGGTGGATCTAGGAGGTAGATGTACTGGGTAGCCTAGACCTATAGGTGGATGGTTTCCAATACCCACTTAGATGTCCATTTGTATACCATTATCTCCTGCATTGCGACCTACGCCAATTGTGGAGCATATATTATATATTATCTATTTAACTATTGGCGCAGCCCTTTTCCTGTATTTCTTTGTGTTACATGTTCACTCCTCAGAGGGTTTGAGGGTTACCTTCTGTTGGTCCGCGGCCTACCTTCAATTTTATTAGCGTTGACCTTTTTCTTTTTTTTTTTTATCCCACCAAATAAATGCCTTGGAAGACAAACCACGGTGGAAACATGTAAAAAATTAGAGGCGTCTCAGACTAAAGTGACCTCTGCAGCATTGCCACATTTTCTCTAAGGCTATTTGCAGCCCTAGTTCCTCCACGGCAAGCCAAGGGAATGCAGCTTGACGGCATGTTTCGCCTGCCCAAACCACAGCAGACCAACAGTATACCCACGAGGGACCTTTTAATTAAATTTCAAAATGAGGAAGACAAGACCACCTTCATGACAGCCACCAGGTGGAAAGCTCCTTACCGATTTGAAAATATGGTACTCATCTTTTTCTCAGATTTATCACGCACGACCCTACAATGGAGAAAGTCAGTCTCTACGACCCCTGACATCAATCCTCGCCACTAAAGGGGTGATATACAGATGAGGTTCGCCACATCAACTAATAGTCCACCACCAGGACAAGGAAAACAGAGTGACAGACATAGCGGAGATTGACACCGTACTGGCTACACTAGGCCTAAGCCCAATGCCTTCTACCACAGCTGCACCCACAACCACAACTTGGGACCGAGACCAGGACTTTTCCCGCATAACATAGCTCTGATAATACCACCTCACCTCCCCCAGCTCCCACCTTGGATCCCAATACTGTAATTGCTCTTGAGGAGCCAGGCCCATCGCTAGCGGGCAGGCAAACCAAGCAATTGCTTGGGGCCCCGAGCTGGCCCTGGGCCCCAAGCAGGGCCGGCGCATCCTATAAGGCTGCAGCTGCCTGAGCGCTCTATAGAGAGCCTCAGGCGGCTGCAGCACTCCTCTCTCGTCATCTCCGCCCTCCCCTTCCTTGTAGCATGGCCGAGCTCCTCTTACAGGAGATTCAGTTTCCTGTTTCCGGCCGGACTGACAGGAAGTGCGGACTGACAGCCAGGAGGAAGAGGAGCTCGGCCACGGTACAGGGAAGGGGAGGTGAGAAGAACAAAGGGAGGGGGGAGTAAAAAAAACATGGGGAGGGGGAGGGAGGGAGTAAAGAAAACATAGGGGGAGTAAAAAAACATAGGGAGGGGGAGGGAGTAAAAAAACATGGGGGGAGTAAAAAGAACATGGGGAGGGGAGTAAGAAGGACAGGGGGGAGTAAGAAGGACACAGGGAGGGGGGTAAGAAGGACACAGGGAGGGAAGTAAGAAGGACACAGGGAGGGGAATAAGAAGTGACTCAATGGTATATCGGACCTTTAAGTGTCTTAATGGTATATTGGATCTTGGAGTGTGTAAGTGGTAAATTGGACTTTAGAATGTCTCAGTGGTATATTGGAGTGTCTCTTGGAGTGTGGACCTTGAAGTGTCTTAAGTGGTATAGTGGATTGGACCTTAGAATGTCTTAGTGGGATATTGGACCTTGGAGTGTCTCAGTGGTATAGGTAGGGGAAGGGGGAGTAAGAAGGACACCGGGATGGGAAGGGGGGACCACAGGGAGGGGGAGTGGGGAGTAAGAAGGACACGGGGGAGGGGAGTAAGAAGAACATGGGGTAGTAAGAAGAACATTGGGAGGGGGGAGTAGTAAGAAGAACATAGGGAGAGGGGGAGGAGTAATAACATGGGGACATTAAGAAGAACATAGGGAGGGGGAGGTGGGGAGGAGTAAGAAGAACATGGGGTAGTAAGAAGAACATGGGGGGGGCAGTAAGAAGAACATAGGGAGGGGGAAGGAGTAAGTGAACTTAAACTGTATGGCTATGCTGTGGTTCTTGTAGGCTTTGCGTGTGTGTGTTGGGGGGGTGTTGGGGAGGCCTCCATGTCCATTTTGCTTGAGGCCCCCAAATTCCTTCAAACGGCCCTGTGAGGAGCTGTTGCTCCATCTCACTTTTAGTTTTCTCTATTACACTCTCAATAATCTCAATCTAAACCTACACTGTTACCACTGTGCATTCCACCCCTGTCCCAACCGCTGCAATACAGTTTCTAGCACAGTTGCAGCACAACAAAATAAAAATAACAAAAAAAAAGCACAGTATTTACTCAATGCCCTATGACTGCTATGGTGGCATTGCAAGCTTGTATGTACTACCATGCACTGTTAAAATAAAGAATTAAAAAAACAAAAAAATAGCCAAAATCCCTGTATTTAATTTGTATTCCTCAGATGTTTAATGTAATATCGAAGTAAGCAGCTATCTGAACTCTACATTATAATCCTGTTTGTAATCCTTCCAGTGAAACTCTGTAAACAATTGGATTTTGTATCCCATGCTAATTTACAGTTCTCACGGTGCTTATGGTACTAAAGATATTGACGTTGGTGGTGTTCAGTGCATTCCTACACACTTCTATGCAAAGAATAAAATACTGCACCCATCAGAAGCTCTCTTCTCCGTTCTTTGTTGATGCCAAAGCGCTGCTACACACTCCCTGTGGTCTGGTGGCAGTGTGCCTGCTGCCAGGTGCTGTCTAGTGAAGATGGGGCCCAGCCAACATGATCTTCAGCTTCTGGCAACTCCTCTTTCCAACTCTTGCGAGTCCGGTCTGCATGTCATGATGAGCATTGCCATGTTTGTGTGTAATGTTGGTGTTTGCATGCAGGCGCATATTCACATTTACACACATATTGCCATGCACACATACAGATGTAAATTACCACACACAGAAACACACAAACAGTCCCACACAGACAGGGCTGGTGCAAGGACTTCTGTGTACACATTTTGCTGCCCCAAAAAATTGTCTTCACCTGTCTGTCTAATATCCTCCCTTTTTCCCCCTCTTACCCATTCTTTTGCCCCTTTTGTGTATCTTGACACTTTTTTCTTATTCCTTTTTGTATATTGTATCCCCTGTTTGGCATTGTTTTTATGTTTTTGTGTCTTCATCCTAATTTTGGAGTCTCTCACACACACAGCTTATACATAAACACAAACTGACTCTTACACATGCACACTGACTCTTACATACACACACACACACACACACACACACACACACACACACACTATCTCTTACACACCCTGGCTCTAATACACACACTGCTTATGCAGACACACACACACACACACACACACACACACAGGCTCTAAAACACACACACTAACTCTTACACACACACTGCTTATACACACACACACACACACACAAAATCACACAGTCTCTTACACACACACACTGGCTCTAACACACACAAACTGGCTCTAACACACACACACTAACTCTTACACACACACTTGATGTAACACACTTGCTGTAGTCAATGAGCTAGCCATGTTCTGCTCAGAAGAGTTAAAAGAAGCTCCGGCTCCGGCTCCAGCTCTCCTGTAGCTGTAGTATAATCAGTTCCCTACAGACCCCAAGTAAGAAGTCAAACCAGCAAGCTGTAGTGGTTATAGTGCTTGGAGTGTTCCTTTTAATCACTGATGGGTTGAATGTTTTAGACTTCAACTACAGAGCCAAGTACTAAGCACACATGGTGATCACTGAGCAGCTCTGTGTACACCATGCAATGAGTAGTAGGAGCAATGACACAAAGCATGTGTGAAGACGTCATACGCTTCCGTTGTCATGGCTTCCTAAGCACTTTTCATTAAGTGGCACTTTAATCACAACATTAGAACTTTAATGAAACTTTTCAGAAAATTTACTTTTACACTCATATCTTTTAGCTCATTCCTATCCTTATTAGCACTTATCAACCCCCGCTTGCTGTTTAGGTAACAGTATATTTGGTTTAATTTGGCTCATTTAGTCCCTATAGCAACAAATAAACTGTTGCTGCGTCGCCATGACAACAGAAGCGTATGATGTTATCACGCATGCTCTGTATCATCGCGTGCAGGCGGAGCAACTCACATACTTGCGCACTCGCCACAGGGGGATGCTAGTTCACACACACTCAGCACCTGGGGTAAATTAATTTACCAATTTTTTCTAAGCTTTATATTTGTGATATATACTTGCTATTTTTAATCTTGATCCAGATGAAAGTCCCTGTTATGGACTAAAAGCTTGCCTTGATTTTACTGGACATTATGATTATTTAATAAAGGCAATCACCCATTTACAAGACTGTGAGTGCAGCTAAGCTTTATTTATTTTCCTGTTTTTATATACATATATATATATTTAATTGTTTTAAGTCTCTTGCTTAATCTGACACCAGGCAGAAAGGCGGGCGCTATTGAGGAACAGAAAGAATACTTCAAAAATATTACACACTTACCTTGGGCAGGGACAAGGAGCTGCTGGGATCTGTGTCTGCTACTTCCAAGTTGTCTTCTTGCTCCAGACCCCTTTATGCACTGTAACCCCACTACCTGGTGCTACAGGAGGCCAATAGTTTGCCTCTATTCATTGGCTCCGTTGTCCAAATGACAATTGAGTGTAAATTCATTTTTAAAGGAAATTGGCATGTGCAAAATCTTCTGAAACAGGACAGATTATAAAAATAAAAAATAAAAATGTTTTTTTCACATACATGGATGATTTCAATAAAAGCTTCTGCAGCCACCAATCACAAAGGTGGAGACGTGCAAAACTGTAACCCATTACAGAATATAAGAGACACTTGTTTTTTTGTTTTTTTTATTATTTTAATTTTGATACACACTTAAGCAATGCCTGGCAGGGAGTATAACTGTGGATAATGTTGCATATTTTTCATTAAAAATAGATGTAGCTAAATGTATAGTTTATAAAGAAAATGTGAATGGCTACTTTACTCCTTGAGCTGGTTTGGGTGCTGACCGGCATAATAGATAGTCAGAAAGGGCAGTGGGAAGGTAAGAAACAGGAATGTAGTAGAACTTGCAGTCCCAACCAGGAGAGTATCGGGTCCAGGGGTAGACGGCAGTCAGTGCGTGTTCCATGCAGTCTGTGACTTTTCTCATCTGGGGACTGCTTGTCTCTATTAGATATTTCAAACACTGAACATCTGTGAACATGTAAAATTATAAAGAAATTATGTTTGTTTTTTTTTACAAATGGAAGCCCTAGAGATATTCATTAAACCTAACATAAATACATAATCATGCTTTACAATCTGTATCAACCCCTTTGCTACACACATCAGTCTGCTGGTGTTCCTCTAAAGGAAGGAAAACCAAATCTGTGCTTATTTTCCTGCGATGACACTCATCCCCTGTATAATTACATCACCCCCATCAGTACAGAAGCCTAGTGGTTACTGTTTGGGTGTAAAACAGCACACGGTGTATCAACATCAACAGTGTGTATCTGTGTGTGTGTGTGTGTGTGTGTGTGTGTGTATGTATCTATCTGTGTGTCAAGGTGTGGGGATCTGTGTGTCAAGGTATGTGTATTTGTGTTTGTATGTGCCAGTGTGTATGAATCTGACACACAGATACACACTGGCAGATAGTGGCACACAGATAAACACACTGACACATATACACACACCTTGACACACAGTGTGTATCTGTGTAAGTGTATATATGTATGTATCTGTGTGTCAAGGTGTGTGCGTCTGTTTCAAAGTCTGTGTATCTGTGTTTGTATGTGTCTGTGTGTATGAATCTGACACACAGATACACACCCTGGCAGATAGTGGCACACAGATACACACACCTTGACACACAGTGTGTATCTTTTTTATTTATGTATCTGTGTGTCAAGGTGTGTGTATCTGTGTTTGTATGTGCCGGTGTGTGTCAAGGTGTGTATATCTATGTTTGTATGCGCCAGTGTGTGTATCTCTGTGTCAGTGTGTATATGTATCTGACACACAGATATACACACACACTGGCACACAGATACACACTGACACACAGATACACACACCTTGACTCACAAATACACACACACACACTCAGATACACACAGTGACATACACACACTTGCACCCACAGATGCACACGGACACACTCAGATACACACACACACAGGGACATATAAAGACACTGATACATACTGGCACATACACACACACACACTTAGATGCACACAGTGACACATACACAAACCTTGACACAGATACACACACTGACACACACACTCTTTGACAGACACACACACTGTTTGACATGCACACATACACGCTCACTGACATACACACATACACTCTCACTGACAAACACACACTCTTTTACAGACACACATACACTCTCACTGACAAACGCACACTCTTTTACAGACACATACAAACACATACACTCTCATTGACAAGAACAGATACATTCTCACTGACAAACACATACACTCACTGACAAGCACACATTCACTCTCACTGACACACAAACACATACAAACTCCCTAACAGACACACACACAATTTTTTTTTTTTACATTTTACTCCACCCAGCCCCTACCTTTAGGAGTGCTGGAATAGAGTCCCTGGGGTCCAGTCGGGCTGCTGGCATGAAGTCCCTGCGGTCCAGTGGGGCTGGCTGCAGCTTGTCAGTCGGGAGGTCTGGCAGACAGGTGAGCGGTGGAGTCGGGCGGCGAGGGAGCAGTGAGCTGTGCTTTCCCTGCTCAGCTACCTTGCGCACCTCCTAGTGATGCCGGAGCCTGAGTGACGTCATATTCCGGCTGCAGCATCACTGCTGTGCGCAAAAGGGAGCTGAGCGGGGAGATCACTGCTCACTGCTCCCTTGCCGCCTGCGGCCATTTTTTTTTCAAATTTTTTGGCGGAACCCCAATTAGTTTTCTGCTGAACCCTAAACACTAATTGGGAAACGCTGTTCTAGACGCTTACCTGGAATATGACTTTACCTCCTAAGGCTGTAACACAGTGACATCCCTAGAAGATATGTTAGTGTAGGACTAACCTCAAGAGATTTGCATGCCTCCCAAAAGTCCTGATTTTGGTGCTATACTCACGATTTTCCGGTCCTGTCCCAACTTTGTCCCATAGTTTCCTGGTGTCCTGCTTTCGGGGACAAGAGGGAACTGTCCTCAACAATCATAACACAAACACATCATAAGTTGCGCTTGCGCTATGTTCAGGGATCTAGGACCTTGCATGATACACTTAAAAAGTGCTCCCTAAAGAATCAGCCCTCAGTGGGTCAACTGAAATGATTGGCAGGAAGCTGGGTGTATATTCACTTCAAGCTGACCTGCCAGTAATGTGGGCACGCACGCTTTCTTTCTGGGTAGGTCTGCCTCTTTTTTTGTGTGTGTGCAAGTCTGTCTCCTTTTGGGTGGAGCCAGTGATGCAATCACATCTCTGCCCCACCCCCTTTACCCCTATTTCACCAGCGTCCTGATTATCGGACTACCAATGTTGGGAAGTATGGATTTGTCTTAACATGGCAAGTGACCTTATACTTTAATGGCAAAACAGTGGTACTAGAAACGTCTAAATGTTATACATATATAGATCCTGACGAAAGTCCTGACATAGGACTGAAACGTTGATCACTCGTGGCAGTTGCTGAATTAAAGTTAAGTTTATTTTTTCACTTTTTCAATGAAGTCCATGGAGTGCTTTTCCTATTTTATATCTATTATTATTGCTGACAAGCACCGGGCTATATAAATAATTTTACTGGAGTGCAAGCATTGGACAATTATATATATATTGTGGCGAAACCAACCTCGCCACTGTACACTGGAGAAGCCTGGTTGCTCGCTTGCTGCCCCATGTTAAAAGACATCTTTTTCCCTGCAGAAAAGACTTATTTGTGCTTTTCTGCCGGGTGTTCGGTAGATTTGTTTGAGTGTGTTGTACCTCAGATAGGAATCCCATGGAGCCCATTCGCATGAAACTGACTGTGTAAAGACTTTGGCTCCATGGCGTTTAAACTGTATTCATGTGGTCTGAGCGCCATTCGCTTAATAATGTGCGCTCAGACCTGAGCTATCTGGGGATATGTAGAACGTTTATGTTTTATGTACTGAATGTAACTGTAGGCAATTTTATGTCTTTTACTGTTTGTTTTCTGCCATGTGGTTAATGGAGTTTTGCCTCTGTCTTTGGAGATAATTGAATTACTTCTCAATTATCTCCAGAGCAGAGAGGAGGGATTGTGATGCATTGTGGGATGGTTGAAATGTGTAAGTCTGTGATTGGTCCTTTTACCCTTTGTGTCCCAGTCTCCCATTTGGTCCCCTAGGGGAGTGTCCACCAGGTGGGAGACCTGCATAAAAGCCGGGCAGTTAGCCCCAGTAAATGAGTTCCTGCTTAACCCTCAAAGTGAAGTGTCGTCTCATTATTGGGGGAGGATTTATTGTATGTTGTTCCAGTTTGATTGCCAGGAGTGTAAGCCGCTTGGGGGCTTTTCCTGTTCGTCTGCTAGCAGCTATTCGTGTCTCTCCAGTTTGGGAGTTGGTGAATTTGTGGGTTTGTAGTTCAGGAGATTGGTGCTTGCAGTAGCTGTCAGTGCAGCTGAAAAAGGGGAATATCTCCTAAACGGTTTTTAACCTCTTTTGAGCAAAACGGTCCATTACATATATATATATATATATATATATACATACATACTCTTCAGAGACAATAGTAAATATTAATTCTGACATTATAGCCATATTGATACTAATAATGCAGAAACACATATGCAAGATGTTTGGAACTTTCTATTCCTACATAGAGGTACACATTTGCTATAAAAATTAAGCAGTATAGTATTTAAAGGGACATTCTTAGCACCAGAACCGTTATTTTAGCGCAAAGAGACTTTTTACAATTATCCTTAAAGGGACACTATATTCACCCAAAAACTTTAGCTTAAAGGACCACTATAGGCACCCAGACCACTTCAGCTTAATGAAGTGGTCTGGGTGCCTGGTCCAGCTAGGGTTAACCCTTTTTTTTTTATAAACATAGCAGTTTCAGAGAAACTGCTATGTTTATAAATAGGTTAATCCAGCCTCTAAAGCCTCTAGTGGCTGTCTCATTGACAGCCGCTAGAGGCGTTTGCGTGCTTCTCACTGTGAAAATCACAGTGAGAAGACGCAAGCGTCCATAGGAAAGCATTATGAATGCTTTCCTATGAGACTGGCTGAATGCACGCATGCGCATTCAGCCGAGGAGGAGGCGGAGAGGAGGAGGAGAGCTCCCCGCCCGGCGCTGGAGAAAGAGGTAAGTTTAACCCTTTCCCCTCCCCAGAGCCCGGCGGGAGGGGGTTCCTGAAGGTGGGAGCACCCTCAGGGCACTATAGTGGTCCTTTAATTAAGCAGTTTTTGTGTAAAGACCATGCCCATGCAGTCTAACTGCTCAATTCTCTGCCATTTAGGGGTTAAATCACTTTGTTTATGCAGTCCTAGCTTGCTTTAAGCTTCACCCATGTGCAGGGCCGTCTTTCAGCATGGGCGCCCCGCAGTGTTGCCCATGTTCTCAGGCTGACAGGGCAGATCCTTTAATCTCCCCTGCCGGTCCATGGAGAGACGGCCCTGTTTTCTTGCCAATCAGAGGTCTCCCTCATTGGCCCAAAGGCCCTTCATTTGGTAATAGAGAGAATGAGGGAGTGAGGTAGGACCCAGGGCTGCCAGAGAGGGAGGACCTGGGAGGCAGATTGCTCCTCCCGGGACCAGGCTGTGTGGAGCGTTGCTGCATGTTGCCATGGCAATGCTCCGACACAGCATTATGTGTGCGGGAGGACAGGAGACAGCCTGCAGCCACACGTGCTGCAGGCTATATAGAACTTACCACCACTGGACCAAACAAAGGTAAGAAGAAGGGTGGGGGGATTAAGATTTTATTAATGTTTAATATTATTTTAAAACTCTGAAACACACACAGCACCCCGCCCACACACACACACACACACAGCACCCCACACAAACACACAGCATGAAACACACACCCAGCACCCCACACACGCAGCACCCCTCACACACACACACACACACAGCACCCCTCACACTCAGCACCCCTCACATGCATGAACTCACATACAAACATGGGCACGCTTGCATTCACAAACACATGCACAGTCACATACATGGGCAGACCCCAGCACACACCGCCACAACATACATAATCAACTATACACACACACAGTCATTTTATACACATATACATAGATATGCAGTTAAATACATATACAGAGATGCACATAATCACACACATACACTGTCATGTACACACTGCTATGAATAATCTCAGTCACAGAAACATAGGAACACAGTACATACAGTCAAATAAACAGGCACATCAACACAGACACACAGTCACAGCTATATGCATAGTAATTCATTAAAATGCACACAGTTGCATACACTGTCACACAATTCGATGAACATTCACATGCACACAGTTATAGACACATAGTCACACACAATCACAGGAACAAAGTCATACACACAGTTACAGACACACAGTCACACACACACAGTTACAGGCACACCATCACATTCACAGTCACACAGTAACAATCATAAACAGGCACATATTGATCAAATGTCCTTCTTACCCTTACAAGCACCGGAAGATAAGGAGTCAGAGGCAATGTAGTCCCACTGTCTGGTGGTTTGGGAGGCAGCAACTCCTTCACGATTTTCCATAAACATGCAGTTAACAGGCAGCATATGCTGGTGCCAAATAACTCTGTACCTGCTGCCTGTAATAGTGAGGCAGTTTCCTCCATGCTAGACCTGGGTAAAGGATAATTAATCTTCTATCCAGATCCTGTGCGGCCATGCTAAAAAGAGTGGCAGGTGGTTCTAGGATGCCATGTGCACCTGTCTCATCTGTCACACAGGGCATACCTCCTGCTCTGTCAACCTTAGTATGCTACTAAATGTAGGAAGCACTTTATATGGGAATGGTATGATGACTTTGGGCATTGTTGGGCACTTTTCTCTTCCTGAACCCATGTTAGTCAATGAATGTTAATTTATTCAATATTTCAATTTAATTGATAAGGAGAAGCTGTATTGTTCATGTGCATACGTCTCTTGATTTAGAGTGAATTTCATAGGGGTTCCTGGGAATTTTTTTTAACTTTTATCTGTCCCTTACTGTCTCATCCATGAGTAAAGCTGGTACAATATTGTACAGCTGATATTGTTTCAGTGTGCTTTATTTTCATATACAGGCTTTTCAACTGTGCGATGATTAAAAATAAAAATTATTATACACATCAGTTTACTGCAATATCCTTTTGCAATATAATTTTTCATGTAAAATCTACAGTTTTGTTTTTCACTGGTTTTCTTTTTCTTTTTTACCTATCTTACACTATGTTTTATTTTGCTTCTAGGTAAGGGCAAACAAGCATACAGTCTTACATTGTTGGAAATAATTCTCTCCATAGGACTCCTTTATCTCAACAGGAACTCTCTCCCAAAAAGATTTTGCTGCCTTGAAATGTGGATCATATGAACACAGTGGAGATGCGAAAGCACCAGGCTCTATGATGGCAACTTTGACTCCAAAATCCAGCATTTCTCTTCTGCAATGAGCAAAATAAATGTATTTTAAAAACATTTCAATCAATTGCTCCATAGACAAGAGTTAGTTGAGACCTGTGCTTGCTTGTGATCATCTCCACCAGTGCTTTTTCACAGCACGGTACAGCAAGTAAGCTCTCATAACATAGAGCCCTACAGGTGATTCTGTGACATCAGGGTTGTGTGTTGGGAATATGAGTGGCTTGCAGTGACGTGAGAGGGAGGACAAGCAACTCCTATGTGGCTGATACTCACTAACTAGCAGAGTGAGCCTCATTACCATGATCAGTGTGGAGGCCCCAGTACACAAATTAGAATGGGTCAACCAACAACAGCTATGATTTATAGTTTGGGATAAGCTTTAAAATGATTTAACCTTGTGAAAAATATTTTTTTTATATAGGAGCTTATCCAAAAATATTAAATTCAGGCCAATATTTGGTACACCACTGAGCTTACTATTAGACATGTGCATTCGTTTTGGGATGATTTGAAAAATCCACACAAAAAAATGTTTTTAGTAAATTTTGTTCGAAAACAAATATCGGTCAATAAATTACCAAATTTGTCGCCAAAAGAAAATCACTCAGGATCATTTGGAGAACGAGTAATGAAGTACTGAGTGTCGGATACAAACGGTAGAGGGCAGAGAAGAAATGCAATGCACTACCGAGCTGCTAAATAATAAATATGGGGATATTCCACCTAGTTTCTACAGTAATTCTTATGTCTTTGTGATTATGCTATTGCTTGAAGCCTAGCTCCTATGTCAATACTGATTTCTTTGGCTTCCTGTATTATACATAATTTAAATTTAATTAAATCCTAATTAAATTAAATCCTAATTAAATCCTAATTTCCTAGTGTTTATATGCAAAGCTTTCTCTGAATCTAAAGTATAAAGAATATAGGAAGCCAGTGAAAGCTTTAAAGGGATCCTATAGTGCCAGGAAAACAAACCCGTTTTCCTAGCACTATAAGTCCCTACAGTGCCCCCCTCCCTCGCAACCCCCCTTTCACAGGGCTGAAATGGTTAAAACACCTTCAGCCACTTACCTGAATCCAATGCTCATGTCCCTTGGCGCTGGGTCAGGCTCCGTCCACACTCCTCCCCTTCCGACGTCAGCCGGCGGGGTAGACCTAATGCGTATGCATTATTCAATGCTTTCCTATGAGGAAAATCTGACGCTGAAGTCCATGTGTAGACAGCCACTGTGGGCAGACGTAGAGCTGCCCGCAATGTAAATGCTAAGTGCAATAGGGAGACTGCACCCAGACCACTTCAATTAACTGAAGTGATCTGGGTGCCTACAATGCCTTTTAGCAAAGAATGCAGACATTAAGCTCAAAGACATAAGAATAACTAAGCAAAAACTGAAAATTTTCAAGCCAACTGAAAATTACTTTCCGTGCATCTTTATATACTATATACAATATTTTAGATTGCTTACCGTAGGGTGTCAGAGAACGCTTGAACTCCATATTTTGAGATGCAGTATCCTCCACCGACTGTAGCGAGTCTCCCAGCACCACTGGAAACATTAACAACGCGCCCTCGAGCTTTTCTGATAAGAGGCAGCAAATTCAGAGTCACATCGACCATACCTAATATGTTTACATCCAGAACTTTAGCAAAGTCTTCCTTTTTCTGCCACTCATTGGGAATCATTGAATACCCAATACCAGCATTATTCACTAAACCCCAAAGCCCTGCAACACATAAAATAAGAGTGTTAAAATAGAATATTCCAATGGCTCAGCCAAGAATGTTACAAAAGATTTATTTGGTGATATAATTCTAATCATATAGATAAACATCTTCATTATTGGAAAATTTCAGGCACCAGTACAATGCATTTTATAGGTTGAAATCAATACTCTACTGTATTTTTTGCATGTTCAAATCGTTATAGTTTTTGCGCTAAAAATATACGGTAAATGTTTTGCAGAATGCTGTACCATAAGCCTTTCTCCTTAGCCATGCCCCTTCACCCCAAAAATAGTTCTTAATCAAATATAAAATGATGTGTTCCCAGACTTACAAACAGAATGTGCACAAAATAGATTATTGTGCAAATAGTACTAATAAGCAAATATACCTATAACTATAACAAGTATAAAATGATAAATCAAATAAGATCCTAGCAAATGACCAAATGTATACCCACAGTACACTTTGAGTAAACTATAAAGTTTACCTTCACCAAACTATCGACACATAATGCAGGTTGTAACGGATCACCTGGTACTCCGCCTGGGTACCTCCCTTGAAGGATGCTCCTAGCGCTTCCTAATGTTTTCCAGCACTCTAGCAGACACCACAACCACCGCAGACTCCTTCAGCAAGCAAAACAGGACTGGGTACCTCCGTTGAAGGATGCTCCTAGCGCTTCCTGAGGGTTTCCAGCACTCTAGCAGACACCATAACCAACGTAGACTCCTTCAGTTACAAGAGCTTAGCAGTGAATATAGCAAGATAGTATGCAGAGCATTGCAATCCAATGTAGCAGATACCACCAATAAGAGACGGCACTCCAAATTGAGGGTGAAGTAGAACTGATTTACTGGGGATACCTGCCCAGCTTTTATGTAGGTCTTCCACCTGTTGGACACTCCCCTAGGGGACCAGATGGAAGACTGGGATACACAGTGGATATTGACCAATCACAAGCTTACACATTTAAATACTCCCACAATGCATTATAATCCCTCCTCTCTGTCCTGGATATAATTGGGAAGTAATGCCATTATCTCCAAGGACAGAGGCAAAACTCCATTAGCCACATGTTAGTAAAAAGACATAAAATTACACAGTGTTACAATTACTACACAAAACATATACATTCAACATATCCCCAGATAGCTTGGATCTGAGCGCTCACTATATCTGAACAGCGCTCAGATCCCACGAACACAGTCAAATCGCCATGGGGTTAAACCATAGCAAGGGCTGATGAGAGACAGAGAAGGGGCAAAACAGCAAGTTCCAACTGGTCTGGCAGTGTTCCTGGGACAATGCCCTGCTGGAGAACAATAGACAGGAAACGGGGGAGGGGCACACCTTCCCATGTATTCAAAGGGGCAGAAAAAGTGTTTCAAAATCCAATAAACCCAAATAAGTTTCTTAAAGGGCAATACATTTCAGGGGCCATAGTCACAGGGCAGGAGGCTGGCAATCAGTCTTCTCCAAGACCCAGTGGCGAGGCTGGTTCCGCCACACAGGTGTTAGTGCACAATGAAACAAACAATGCCCAAAAACATCAAACAACAATGGGTGTATAATCACTCCACAGCAAACAGCAAACAAACTGATTCAACTGATGATTGCAGAACAACTATCCAATTTGCATAGATTTTTCATGCAAGCACATAACAGCAATAGCAAAATAACACAACTTATACTTTCTTTAAAATCTTGCAGCAATCTCCACTTTACAGATAAAAAGGGGAACTATGAGGACATAAAAAATGCACATGCTAAGGAGGAGGAATTAGTGATATAAGGTTTGACAAAGCCCCAAAAGCTGGGTGAAACACATCAGTCACTACTGTATTATGTAATGGCGCATGCGCACTAACAGAAGCTCTCGAAATTGGAAGCTTAAAAGAACTTGAGCAAATCGGAGGGAGGAGCGAGTAAAGTCCCATCAACTATATAAAAATGATCACAAAAAATGGAATTATGCTATGTTTGTGATTTATGTCTTCATATATCCACATGTAATCTGTACTACTTGTACTTTGCAATTTACACAGTTCCTGACCAGATTTATATATTTTATATTCAGGTTTCAGGCTCAGTGCACTGGAGTTGGTTAGGAAATTGCCTTAGGAGTGAATTTTCCTAAATCATACATTGTATAATTGAGAGAATATGTTATGGTATATATGTATGTAATTTCATTTTAGAATATACATTAGATATGTGCATTCATTTTCGTACGAATATGATTTTGTCTAAAAATTCTTTTTTTTTTTTTCATATTCGTTTACTAAAACGTAAACTAACGCCCTACAAACAAAATGAAAGAGCAAATGCTGAATGCATTACCTTTTCATTTCATTAATAGACTCCGTGCTGCAGGGGAATTAACCCCCACAGCACGGAGAAAAAAAAAAAAAATACCAGGGAGGGAGCAGGCAGCGCTACCAGCTCCCTCCTTGCAATAAATATTAATTCCAACCCCCACCCCTCCATTAAAACCTATGGGGGTCACTATGACCCTCATATTAATTAAATGGAGGGTAAATCCTCTCACATACCCCTACTCGTGGTATGCCGTGAGTAGGGACATGTCGCCTAAACAAATTTAAAACTATTGCTGCCCAGTCTCTAGTGCAATAAGGGGGGACCTGGAACAGGTCCCCCCGTTCTCCCATGGTGGGGGAACAGAAATACCTAAAATGGGTGGGACATAGTGCCCCCCCACCCGTGACCCATGGATGGTGGCTATTAATATAAAGGGGGCGACTTAATGTGCCTCCTGATCCCAACACATGAGCGGCAGGTGGGGACCTTAATGTCTCCCCCGGGTCCCACCCATGAGCGGTGGATGAGGACCCTAATAAAGTAAAGGGGGACCTAATGTCCCCCCTGGTCCCCACCCATGAGCGGCGGATGGGAACCCTAATTAAATAAATAAGGGGGGGTCCTAATGTCCCCCCAGGTCTCAACACATGAGCAACAGGTGGGGACTCTAATACATTAAAGGGGGAACCTAATGTACCCCCTGGTCCTCACCCATGAGCGGAGAGTGGGTACCCTAATTAAATAAATAATGGGGAGGACCTAATGTCCCCCCCAGGTGCCCACCCATAAGCGGCGGGTGAGGACCACAAATAATAAAGTGACTAGGGGTCCCCAAGCCCCTAGTTACTCCCCCCCAATAAAAATACCCTACCTACCCCCCTCACCCTAAAATAGTGAGGGCGGGGGCAATAAACTAACCCTGTAAAATAAAATTTCATACTTACTTATTTGATGTCTTTGAAAAGCAACCAATCAGAGGGTTATGAGTCAAATTACACAGCATTGGAAAATTCCAAAGAACTTTGTCACGCTGTGTAAAATGACACAGCACACCGATTGGTTGGATTTCAAGCCAACCAATCAGAGTGCTGTGACAGGTAAATGTAGAGACTTAGATATAGCAACAAATTAGATTTCTGGTGTTTGTTCCTTATATGTACAGCAGCTGAACCTTCCCAAACCAGAGTCTCTTCTTTCTGGTCGTAGATACAAATAGAACAGGAAATGTAGGGAAGCAATGGTTAACAAATAAATTCCTTGTGTGGAATCCAATGGAGCCAATATAAAAGAGAAAACAAAATGGGACAGGAATTCTAGTATGTTTATAAATGCAGAGGCAAAATATAAAGAAAAATATTGCACTCACACTTTTCTGGAGCTAAAGGTCAGCTCCAGATCACAGCGTATAGACAGTACATTCCCCATCTATGGATAACAGGATGGTCTTGATTTCCTTTGGTATTCTATCCTTGTGCCAATAATCCATGTGGTGTATTCAGGATGATGCTCCAGTGATATAAAGAGGATATAAAAGAACAGGAATAGTGCTCTCTATATAGATCTGTAGTTCAAAAAGACACAACTTTTGCAGTTTGGCAATTCCAGTACTTGCTCTGTTTGACAGCACTATTACATTTCAGAAAAAGTCAAATCTGATTTGACTAGTAGTTTTAAATGACAGTGACCAGTGTCTGCTCGCTGTTTAGGCGACAAGCCCCTAATCGCGGCATGTGGGAGGATTTAACCTCCCTTTTATCAATATGGGGTTCATAGTGACCCCCATACTGATTTATATTTAAACTTGCTGCTCGCTGTCATTTCAAAGTGGATATGAATGTATCTTGTGTAGAAGTGTAAAGAGTATGGTAAGAGTAGGTGCAAAAATAAGCTATTTAGATGTAAATAGCTACTTTTTCATATTGCAACATTGTTATAGTTTTTTGCTATAACTTTTGACTACATGTACTCTTACTGTAGCTCCCTATCACTTCTACATATGATACTGTTTTTTATATCCACTGGCTGCTCACTGTTTAGGCGACATGCTCATGGGGGGACCTGGCACAGGTAGGGGCATGCGGAGGATTTGACCTGTCCCCCCTTATTGCACTAATGACTGAGCAGCCCTTTAACTAGTACTTTTACATTTGTTTAGGCGACATGTCCCTTCTCATGGCATGCCACGGGTAGGGGCATGCGGGAGGATTTAAACAGCTGCTCACTGGTTAGGCGACATGCCGCTGTGTTAGTTCGAGAACTAATGGTTTGCGGACGAAATTCAGGATTTCCAAATTAAATTTTTATTTAGTACGAAATCATTTGTAGGAAACGAAAATTTCACTGGTGCACGTCTAATATACATGTGTATCTGCTCTATGGACTCCTCTCCAATTATTTTTTAAACCAGCAAGGAAACTCTTTTAAACAAATATACAAACCAAAATAAAGCAAGAAAAACTTTGAAAAGTATGTAAACTTGATAAAATTGTTTTGGTGGGCACGCCTCTCAGCTAATGGAACTTCTTCAGCCTCTCCTCCCATCAGTTTAGTCCACTAATGGCAGAAATAGTTCATCATTGTGCAGCAGCAGGAGAGGGAACCCCAACAATGGAGCCTGCTCTGCATGACTCACACTGATCGGACTCCCATTCTTCTCCACCTGGCAGGATGTTGAAATGTGAAGAGATCTTGCAACTGCACATATGTAACTCTGTTAGGCATGCCCAAAGCACTTTTCCAGAATTCCTAGGGATACACCACTGATTGGTTAGATAAGTGTTCTCCCTGGAGTGGGTGTGAAAATAATATTTACTTGCTTTTTTCAGCCTACATTGTGAGGCAACGGTCTCATTCAAAGCTACAACTTTTAAATGAGACAGTTGTCTCTAATGCCTCATTTCCACTGAGCGGTATGGTTCGGGTCAGTACGGTTTGAAAGGGTTAGAATAGTCCAGCCGATTCAGGTTGAGCATTTCCACTGCAAGTCGGACTGCCAGGGGGTATGTGGGGTTTAGACCAAATGCCTAGTGTGTTGTGAGCATTGACGTACCCCCCCCCCAAGAAAACTGAGTGTCTCCCTCTCCCCTGCCAGCACATGCAGGCGCGGGTCCTACAATGTGCCTTCACAGACCGGAGGAGAAATCAGAGATCTCCCTCCCTGGTCCACAGGCATGGGCTGGCAGCCGGCAGGGGAGGGAGATAGGACCACGGCAACGCTCCGGATCTTGCGAGAGTGAACTCTAGCCCTGGAGCTGCGGGCTAGAGTTCACTCTTACCAGTAGGACAACCAGGGATTCCCCATGGACCACCAGGAATTGAGCAATGTTCCCCTCCTCCCAGTAAAGGTAAGAAGGGAGGGGGGACATATATATTTGTTTTAATTAAAAAAAAAATTTAAACTACACATATAAGAAGGGTAGGGGGGGCTTTTTTATAATATGTGTTGTTTTTTTAAAATTTTTATTAATATGTATGTATGGGGGCAGTGTGTGTGTGTGTGATAAGAAGGGTAGGGGGGCTTTTTTTATAATCACATGCACACACATTGCTCCCCCCCACATACATGTACACTGCCCCCCATACACACACACATTGTCCCACACATACACTGCAATCCTCACACACGCACACTGCAACTGTCACACACACATACTGACTGCAACACACACACACTGAACCCCTGACATACACTGCCACCCTCACTCACACACTGCAACCTTCACTCACACACATGCTGCTCACATACTGTCCCCCTCACACACACACTGCACCCTTTACACATTGCACCATCCACACACACCACTGCTCCTACGCCCTACTACAGCCCCTTTTCCCAGCAGACCCAAGGTAAGTTGTCAAACTGTTCTTAAACTATTGACACCATAACCACTACACTGAGCTGTAGTGGTTATTGTGTCTGGATTATTTACAATAATCTACAAGTGCCCCTCCCGAGATCAGGCTCTGGATCCGCCATTACGGCGGATACTTATCCATCGGGTCAAAATCCGGTGTTTAGTAAATTACTCTGTAAATCTCTGGACTGACAAAATTTATTGAAAATGACTAGATTTATGATTCTCAATGAAACTGGATTTATGATGCTCATAATTATTAAAGTTTGTACATTTGGTAATTCTAACCAGTTGGTGTCTTTTTTTTAAAATCAGTACTTTTTGCATTTAATCCAATATAACATAGAGGGCATTTACAAAACACCAAATGTACACTTTATTTTAAAAGGCTCTTGCTCGGCTGATGTTCTCATCCTATTTGCAGCTGGCCGGTTAACCCTTCCTTGTACTGCAGTGCAAAGAAAAACAGAGGCCACAGTGTTGGGTGAAAGTCCTGCAACACCTATATATCTACATATGGCCGCATATGGCTTGCTCCCACGTAAAAATAGTAGGGGAGTCACAGTAAAATATCTCTCCTATGCCCCTTACCCAGAAAGTAAAGGCACCTGCTTGCAATGTGTAATGGGCTTGGGAGAGACCCTATACCCGGTATCCTCTATTCATAAGCACATATTCACTAACCCACACTATAGGGAATAGGGCGTCCTCTGCTATCTTTTTCACCTATTATTTTTAAATATTTATCTCCCATTCCATAACCTAGGCACTATGGTATGTGGTGGAAGGCAACATAACTGTTTTCGCCTACTGTTACTATCCCTCACTCCATTCTACAATCTAGGGTAATGATTCCCCACTAGGATCTAGATGCCTACAATAGATAGGGTACGTTAGCAGCACCATCTTCCCTCATGCAGTAGAAGTCCCTTCATATCACTGGCATTTTTGAACATATATCACTTTCCATATTTTTCTTTAAAAATAATCTAATTTATATTTTAGTACACTATAAAAGTCTTCATTTACCTGAATTTCCTACAATACTAGTAACCCACTTGGCAGCAGAGCTCACACTCTGACTATCTGAAACATCCAAGATTACAGTCTGCAGTCTGCTGGAAGCCTCTTTCTTCAGATTCTCAGCCCCTTTCTCTGTCAGACAAGCTGCCAACACTATCATCCCACGCTGATCCAACTGCCTCGCTAGCAGGTTCCCAAATCCAGTGTCGCATCCAGTGATCAGCACATATTTATCAGAGAGATTCTGCAGTATTTGGCTCTGTCTATGCCATCTGTACAGGATGATCAAACCCAGCGCTACCACCAGCAGAGGGAGCCACATGACGAATGGTAACTAAAAATACAAAAAATTAGTCATATTTGCAAGAATGGAGGCATTACACATACATATAATTACAAATACATATAACTTAAATTAATTCCTTTTAACACAAACCTTCTTTTCAGAAATGTAAAAATGTTTTTCAATTTATTAACACACATTTTACGCCATCATAGCTTTTCTATGTCATGTTATATTTTAAATTTGCATAGGCAAGTACCAAAACCATTTAAACGGTTAGGGTTTGTATCCGCTGTAATGCCCACATGTAGATAATTAATGTGTGTTAACTGTAGCACCTGTTTCCATAATACTACCAACTGCGTCAGATAATTCCTTGTTTTATATCTCCCATAGCGAATAATAGAATTAGTTTTAATATTAGGATTTGTTTCCATGTTAGTTCTTTAAGGGTTACTCCAAACATCATAATTACTACAGCCCGCTATAGAGGTTATGATGCCAGGAGTACTTTTTCCAAGTTCCCAGAAATGGGGCAAACCGAGTAGAAATGGTTTGCCCTCTTAACTGGCTCCCTGCAGGACTCTCTGGCTCCAGTGACATTCTACCAGATTCTGCAGAGCTGCAGAAGCTGGAAGCTGATCCAGTCGCCATTCATGGCACACTGTGAATGAAACTTTGCACAGAATTGACATTAGCCAGTCGAAAACTATTTTTTCAGGCAGGCTGATGACATTCCATGACCACTGTTCCCTCTAAGGTGTGCGCGCACATACGTATTTTTGAGAGAGAGCATATGTAGTCCGGATTTACACACAGCTCCTTGCAACACCTGACAGATGGTAGGGGGCGCCACAAGGAGTGGGCCTTTGCCCTGTCACAGGCCACCTTAGAGCACTTCCAAAGTGGAAACTTATTCAGCAAGGCAGAGTAGGCACCTGCTTGTGGCAGGTGCCTACTCTGCTAATATATACAAGGCTGGCAGGAGGAGGCAAACTGGCGTGTCTCCAGTTTTTCTCGGCTCTTTCGCACACCCTATGTAGTGGTGCCAGGAGCTGGAATATGACATTACTCTGACCTCTACATCACTACTGAGGACGCGAAAGGTAGCAGAGAGAAACTAGAAGATCCATTACCCACTGGACCCCAAGGAGATAATCCCCAGTGGACCCCAGCGAGAAAATCCCCACTGGACCCCAGGGAGAAATTCCTCACTGCACCCCAGGGAGAAGATCGCAACTGGACCCCAAGGAGATAATTCCCAGTGGGCCTCAGGGAGAAGATCCCCACTGTCAGTGAGTGTCTGTCAGTGTGTGTGTTTCAAATCTGCGATTGTTTGTAATTAATTGAGAGTGTGTCAGTGTGTTTGTCAGTCAGTGTTTCTGGCAGTGTGTGTTTGTCATTGAGTGTGTGCGTCTGTCAGTATGTGTGTTTCAAATCAGTGAAATTGTGTGCCTGTGTATTTAAGAAGTATTAATGTACATGTCACCATTTAGTTATTATTATTATTATTTTATTATTTATATAGCGCCAACAAATTCCGTAGCGCTGTACAATGGGTATTTAGTGGGCAAAGAGTTTGTTTTGAAAAATCTATGGGTGACATTTCCTAATATTATGTTTGATATCAGTGTCTGCTTAATTAGGTTGTTTGTGTCTCCTTTGTGCTTTGGACATCATATCAATATTTTTTGTTTGTTTTTAAGAAGTATTAATGTATTTCTCACCATTTATTGGTCAAAGAGCTCCTTTTACAAATTCTATGGGTGACATGACATCTCTCTTCGTCAGGGTCGGACTGGCCCTCCAGGATACCGGGAAATTTCTCAGTGGGCCGATATAACTTTGTGCAGGTGCATGGTCATCTAGGCCTGGCGGGCAGGAGGGGAGCCAGTGCTATCCTCCTGCCAGTCACTGTATGCAGCATGGTCGAGCATACTGGTCCTCCAGGTTACCAGGAAATTTCCCAGTGGCCCGTCATAACTTTGGGCTGGTGCATGGCCGTCTAGGGTGTACTGGTCTGACAGGCAGGAGGGGAGCCCTGGCTCACTGAATGCATATGCAGCGAGGTAGAGGAGCTTCTGTCCCCCTACCTGGTCTGACAGGAAGTACTCTAAGTGAGCACCGAACAGTTTCCTGTCAGACTGGGGAGAGGAACAGAAGCTCTTCTAGTATGGTCTGCAGCTTGGTCATGCTACAAGAATGTACAGGATGGGCTGGGGAGGGAATGAGGCATATGGGGGGCTTGGTGGGAACAAGACACAAGGAGGGGCTGGGGTGGTAATGAGACACATGAAGGGGCAGGGGCTGAAAAGGACACATGGAGGGGTTGCGTGTGAATGAGACACATGGAGGGGTGGGGGGGATGGGACACATGGATGGGCTGAGGGTGAATGAAACACATGGAGGGGTTGGGGGGAATAAGATACATGTAGGGTCTGGAGGGAATGATACACATGAAGAGGCTGGGTGTGAATGAGACACATGAAGGGCTGAGCGGAAATGAGTATGGAGGTACTGGGGGTGAATGAGACACATGGAGGGACTGAGGGGGAAATAAGACACATGGAGAGACTGGAGAGAGGGAAAAACATATGGAGGGGATAAGGGGGAAAAGGTAAACACAATGGGGCTGTTAAAGGAGAACAAGAGACACACAGGGGCTGAGGAAGGCAAACAAGAGACACACAGAAGAACTGAGGAAGGGGAGAAAGAGACATGGGCTTGGAGGAGAAAGACACACAAAAGAGACTGGGGGGAAATAGACATACAGAGCAGTGGGAGAAGGGGAAAAAGAGACCCACAAAAGGGCTGGAATGAAATAAAAGATACACAAAGGGGGATTGTAAGAGACGCACAAGAGGGTGTAAGGCACACAAAATGGGAGAAAATATACACTAAAGCAGGTAAGACAATCAAAAGAGGGGATGAGAAACACAAAAGGGAGCAAGAAATTAAAAAGGGAGGTTAAGAGAAACAAGTGAAGATGCATTTTTCTTGCGGAGGAGGGGAGTATTGCGTCTGTCTGTGTCTCCTGCTCTCCCAGTAACTCATTTCTTCAGCACAGGAGTCTATGCAAAAGAGTTGATTAACAGGTGAGAGAAAGATATCTGATTAAAGGGACACTATAATCACCAGAACCTCTACAGTTTAATGTAGTGATTCTGGTGTCTATAGCCTGTCTGAGCAGGCTGATTACTGTAAATGTGTTTACATTGCTATATAGGAACACCTTTAGCTGCAGACATTCAGACAGCCACTAGAGGTGTTTCCTAGTCCAGTGCTGCGCAGTGTAAAGCACCTACATCTCCATGCTATGGATGGATGCGCTGAATGCTCCTGATTCAATGCGTCTCTATAAGGAGATGCTGGTTGGTGTGTCACTGCACAGTGTTTGCCACACAGTCCAATGGGAAAGTATTTGATTGGCTGAGATCATAAAGTTTGATGATCTGAGCCAAAGTGAAGAGCACACTCATAGGACTTTAAAATAAATAAGATAACATTGTTTTGTTTACAGCTGTGCAACAGCATAGATTCCCCATTTCAGTCCTATTACCAAAGTTTACTTAATATGTCAAGTTAGTTGGACTGAAACACTGATTATATGCATATGTACGCCTACTGAAAATAAAATTGCTCTTTTGTTTATTTTGAAGCCCGATGAGTGATTTCTTTCACTTTTAGGGTAATAGTTTTTAATTTTTAATTTTAAGTTATCTTTTTCACCTCTATATCTGCACACAATGCTGGCACGGTGCATTAATTGGCTGCTTTTGCAGGGCTGATTTACTTTCCCCGTCCTGCCCTGCTCCACCTCTCCATATAATGTTTGCTATTAATGTGTCTGCTGAATTTGATTTATGTGTAAGAAGCATTTATTATTTATAAATAACTATTTAACTGCATTCACTGTTTCTGCCCAAGTTGGGTAATTAACATGTTTGCCCAAATACAGTCAACAAGCTAACAATATTATCTTCTGGTTGAATAAAAAGTCATTTTTTTATGGATTAAATTGCTATTTACTTTGGTGAAGGTAGGCTGAAGCTTTGTGGCAAGCTATATAGGCAACAAGCTGGAAAATGTTTCTTACATTTTTTTTTAATTGTCTGTACTCTTGCCTGAGCAGTTGCCCTCTATTGCTCTCTATGGACTATATGACAAAACAAAATGGTCAATAGCAGAGAGGCTTGTCTGTCTGACATTACAGTAATACAGTTGTGTAACTACTAATACTAAATTATCAGGTAGTAATACTGTAATATAATGTTATTAACCAGGCGAGAGATGCTGCATTTAACCAAAATTATCAAGAAACAATTTCGGGTTTACATTTGCACAAATATTCAGTGTGCACAACATTTTGGATTAGAGAAGATTTCTGTGCACACCAACTAAGGAAAATGTAAGGGGTACATTGCCCATGACGCTGCTTGAGGTAGAGTTACTCCTCTGGCAGCTAAGGGATTTAGTATTTAAATGGATTCTCTAGTGCCAGGAAAACAAATCTGAGTGTCCCCCTCCCTGCCGCCCCCCATCCCACGTCACTGAAGGAGTTAAATCCTCTTTAGACACCTACCTGAATCCAGCGCCGATGTCCCTCAGCATTGGTTCAGGCTCCAGCCACGCTCCTACCCCGCCGACGTCAGCCGGCGGGGGAGACCTAATGCGCATGTGCGGCAATGCGCACTCGCGTGTATTAGACCTCTCTATAGGAAAGCATTGTATCCGGTGATGCTGGAGGTCCTCATGCATAGCGTGAGGACGTCTAGTGTCGTTTAGATGACTAAAGTTGTCTAAGAAGCCAGAGGTCCCTCTAGTGGCTGTCTGGTAGACAGCCACTAGAGGAGGACTTAGCCCTGCAAGGTAATTATTGCAGTTTATAAACACTGCAATAATTACACTTGCAGGGTTTAGGGTGATGGGAGTTGGCACTCAGACCACTTCAGTGTCCCTTTAAGTAAAGTTTAAATGGTAATTCTTCTCTGGGTGTGCATCCCAATCCAATGCGCTGTGCATAACCGTTACTTTAATGCTCATTTAATTATACTGTGCATTTCTTTCCTGTAAAGTTGTAAAAATTATTATAATCTAAGTATATTTATTTGCATAATTGTTATTTTCAGCAAAATAGAATAGTCTAACTCAAGTCATGGTAATAGAACTTACATTTGCAATCCATGGCCAGAGTAATGCTATTGGGAAAGAGAGGTCATAGATGTCATTGAAAAGGTACATACTCTGGGGTCATTGTACTTTACACCCTTAGATTGTGACTTAAAGTGGAACTGTCATGCCGAACTTATCTTTCTTTAATCGATTCCTCTTCTCTCCCTCTCTCAGGATCTGTTCTTCATTTCTTCCTGTCTGCTCTAGTTTTCTTTAAAACATACGACAAAGTAGGGACTACTTTGTCTTACGGAGGTTTCCTACGCCTGACCAGCTGTGACCAGTGGAGGAGCAAAGTGTGCTTTGTTTCCGGTGGTCAGAGCAATTTTCCCACAATTCGCAGTTTCTCCAGTCGTTTTAGGACACAATTCGGGACTTTGTTCGGATTGGAATTTCATTTGAATGAATGAAACTCCGATCCAATTCGTGCCACGGCTGTATCTTGCAGCCGCTTAGTAGATAACTCCCTAATTTCTACGGTATCAGGGAGCTAGACTGAAAGACCTAAATTGGTCTCTCAGCCAAATTTACTAATACTAAGGCTGAAAAAATAAGATTTTAGAAAAAAAAAGACATTAAATGGTAAGTTATTTTTTTATTTACAGGGATTTCGTTTAATTGTTCCCACATACATATTTTTAGGGTGAGTGGGGTAGGTAGGGGTTTATTAATTTTCTTTTGGTGGGGGGGTGACTAGGGGCTTGGGGACTCCCACCACCACTCATGGGTGGAGGCCTGGGGGGAGGACAATAGGTCCCCCCTTATTGTTATTTAGGGCCCCCACCCGCTGCACAGGGGTGGGAGCCGGGGGGGACAGTAGGTCCCCCCATTTTTATTTAGGGATCTCACCCGCCGCTCAGTGGTGGGGGCCTGGGGGGGGGAGGACAATAGTTTCCCCCCCATATTGTTATTTAGGGTCCCCACTCGCTGCTCAGGGGTGGGGAGGGGACAATAGGTCTCCCACCTTATTGTTAATTAGGGCCCCCCCGAGCGGCGGGTGGGGGCTGGGTGGACAATAGGCCCCCCATTTTCATTTATGGCCCCCAACCACTGCTCAGGGGGGGCAGGGTGGACAATAGGTTCCCCCCATTTTTATTTAGGGCCCCCACCTGCCGCTCAGGGGTGGGGGCCGGGGGGGCAATAGGTACACTGTTCAGTTTAATAGCCCACACTCGCGCGGCGCAGGTGGGGGCTCAGAATGGGGGACACTAGGGTTTTTGTTTTAACAGTGAGCAGCCACTGGCTAATCATTACTTAGTATTAGTAAATTTGGCTGAAAGACCAATTTAGGTCTTTTAGCCTTTTGGTAGGTAGCTCCCTAATACTGTGGGAATTAGGGAGTTATCTACTAAATGGCAGCAAAATGCAGCCATGGCACGAATAGGATCGGAGGTTCATTCATTCAAAATTAAATTCGGAACCGAACAAAGTCCCAAATTGCGTCCTAACACGAATGGAGAAACTGTTCTCATTCTGTTAGGACGAAATTTGATTGTTTTGCCGGCGTTCTGTCTAAGTGACAGGACGTTCGGGAATACTGACAGGAAGTATCGCGAGATCATGGATAAAAGGTGAGAATTGTGGGAAAATTGCTCTAACCACTGGAAATGAAGCACACTTTGCTCCTCCACTGGTCAGAGCTGGGCAGACGTAGGAAACCTCCATAAGACAAAGTAGTCCCTACTTGTCTTATTTTTAAAAGAAAACTAGAGAAGACAGGAGGAAATAAAGAACAGATCCTGACAGAGGAAGAGAACAGGAATAGATTAAAGAAAGATAAATTCGGCATGACAGTGCCGCTTTAAGATTTCCAGCATCTATTTTCACCTTAGTTGTGTATTGTGCTGTGTTATCTCCAAATTAAAAGGGACCTCTACACAGAAGTCCAAGCACCATATGCTGGCAATTTGATACTTACTTTGCTGTGCCAGGTATCTGCAGTCCTTATAGTTCGAGCTGGTGTGATAAAGAGGAAGTTGAGCCTTCTTCATTACTATAACAATTCATGCCCAATTTAAACAGCATTTCTTGGCTGAGATTGTGAGCTGACGGGACTGAAAGAATGTTTTTGTATATCTGCTTCATTTGTTTTTAAGATCTATGAGTGCACATTGGAGAAATCATTTTTGTCAGTTAATTACCAACAAAGAATAAGTACCAGGGCACAGCTTCTGCTTAGAGGTTTTGTGGTATTATTAGAATTTTATTACAGCATTTAGTGTAGTAGAGAACAGTATTCACATAGACAGTTGATAAACATGGACTTTGATGGTATTGTGCAAGTAAAACACCAATTTAAAAACATTTGCCTCTATTTGAGTAAATATTGTCTTCCAAAGCCCCATGGAACTTTTCCCTTTGCCCTATCCACACTGTCTGCTACCTCACTAAAACATAACTAGATTGACTAAACTGAGAACCAGTCTATCTTACTGCTGGTGCAAGAAAAAGGGAAAAACATTTATTTTAACATTTTTAGTGGCTCTTTAATTATTTCCCATACGGTGTGTAGACTAAAAAAGCATTTATAATATCCCATGGTGTTTGTAGGGATTATGTATTTTTCCATATTCTAATAAAATCTACCCATAACCATATGCTTAGTCTTATACCACAATTAAGCTATGGCCTTTATTTAATGATAATATATTGTCATTTCATAAGCAATGAGGTTGTGATGATATGAAGAAATGTCAAAGTATTGGCATATTATAGTATCTGTGTGATGAGTGAAAACAGTGCGCTGCAGTGATTATAGTGCACGTTTAACTGTTGGAACTGATCTAGTTGATCCATAGTTATATAAACTTCTTGTAAACCTTAATTAGAAGTCACATTTTGCAGATTCAGAAAATTAGCAAATGCTACACCCTTCCAGTTAAAGTTTGCACCAAAAAGTGTAATTATGAGCAGGGCCGGACTGGGGGTACAAAGCAGCCCTGGCAAAAAAAAATAAAAATCTATGCCAACCCCATAAGTCATTGTGCTGTGTATTGTGTGTAATATATATATATATATATATATATATATATATATATATATATATATATATATATATATATATATGCGCGTGTGTATATATATTTTATGTGTGTATATATATATATATATATATTTTTTTATATTATTATTTATTTATTTTATTTCAAAATATTGGTCCTTTTAGAGTAAAACATTTAACTATACTATACAGTAAGCATACCCACATGCAGACACATACAATCTCACTGTCACAAGCTCTTTGATTCACAGTCAGACAGACAGACAGACAGACAGACAGACAATCTCATTGATATACATATGCTCATTAACATAAAAACACAAGCTCACTGATGCACACAAATAGGCTCACTGACAGACAATCTCACTGACACACACAGACAAGCTTAATGGTACACACACAAATTTAGTACAGACAAACTCTGACATGCACAGGCTTACTACAGACAAGATCACGGTCACACACACACACACACACACGCTCACTGACACCCACATGCTCACTACAGACAAGCATACTGACACACATGTTCATTACAGACAAGCTAACATTCACATGCTCACTACAGAAACGCACACACATACACACATGCTCACTACAGAAACGCTCACTGACACACATGCTCCATACAGAAACGCTCACTGACACACACATGCTCCATACAGATAAGCTCACTGACACACACACATGCTTCCAACAGACAAGCCCACTGACACACACACATACAAGTTCACTCACTAGCAGACAAACACACACACAAGCTCACTCACTAGCAGCCACACACACACACACAAATGTTCACTCACTCCCAGCTGGTATACAGGGGTCTCTTTCTGCTAAACATTTAGGCAGTAACTCATACACAAGCAATCACTGTGCATTTCTCTTTTAAAAAAAAATAAAAAAATAAAAAAAAACCTTTAACCACTAGAGTTGTGATAAAGAAACTCCCTGCTTTGCACAGAAGGGATTCTCCTAGAACCCTTTCTTTGGCAAGAGAATTGGAATAACTACCTGGCTGCTTCCCTTTCACACTTTCAGAGCCTTATTGATCTTGGCCTATTCATTAACTAATTGGTGCAGTAAAAATAAACAAAAATGAATATGTGGAGATTTTTTTCCCTAGGGGATCAAACTAAATCTGGTGGTCTTGCAGAGGGGAGGAGAGAAAAGGGTCTAGTTAGTGCTGTTGAAATAAACATAGACCAACTAAACTGTCTGCCTGATCTCAGGAAACCTCATCAGACATGACCCAACTCCCTCATGTGTCAGTCTTTATTTTATTAATGAATGGTCTAAGCACAATGGCACTGGGCTGCCCTGAAGTCCATTATTGTGAAGTTCCTCTTGTCCCAGGACTGGGTCTTTTCATTTTCATATGGTTATTGTATCTCATACTCAGAGAGCACATCTTAGCACGGAGTCCTGGATACCACCTCTGAGCACAAAGTATATCTAAACAATAGCACACATTGTCCATACTAAGACACCTTCTGGCACACAGTCATAGATCACTCACTAGCAAACGGACACGGAAACACACACTCACTCACACTCTCACTAGCAGACACTCACTCACACCCTCTCTCACTAGCAGACACACCCTCTCTCACTAGCAGACATACTCACACTCTTTCTCACTAGCAGACACACTCACACTCTCTCTCACTAGCAGACACACTCACACTCTCTCTCACTAGCAGACACACTCACACTCTTTCTCTCACTAGCAGACAGACACAGCCATGGCTGAAGCTTACCTGCTTCACTGGCAGGTGAAGTTGCCATTTTGTGGCCCTTCTTTGCATCGAGGTCAGCACCGTGTGTGGGGGCGGAGCTTACGTGTGGGAGGCAGGGCTTGCATTAAGGAGGCGGGGCAGGTATGCGGAGGCGGGGCAAGCGGACGAAATTAAGGTAAACCGTTCAGGGAGACTCATAGGTCTCCCTCCGGCCGTGGGCAGACTAATTGCGGCCGCACCAGCCCCCAGCTCCTCCCTCATTACTCCCCTCGGACTGACACAGGCTGGCACAGTCCCAGGGGAAAATGCTTAAAAAACAACCTAATGATTTGGGCTGTCTGCCCGGCCCCAGATTACTGCAGCCCACAGGGAAATGTCCCGGTATCCCAGTGGGCCAGTCCTGCCCTGATTATGAGCAATACATACAGATTGTATGCCTGCAATCTTTAAGCTAGCTTTTTGTGATGCGTGAAAAGAGTTTGTGCATATCACACAGAACTAGCCTAAAGATTGCGAGATTTTAAATATAAAGTAAATTTCATTAACCCCTTAAGGACAGAGGATGGTTCAGGACCGTCATCGGCATTTTCCGACTGACGGTCCTGAACCGTCCGAATGGTCCTAGTTACTTACCTGATCGCCGTCGTTCCCCCGGCGGTGCTCCCATTGTGGGGAGACTGCCTGCAGCCCAGGAAGTCTCCCCACACTGGATTAGGACCCCTGGGGCCATGTGATCGCTCAACACAGCAACACAACAATAGGTGTCCATGTGTCTGCCTGCAGGGGGACTGTCTGTGCTGACAGGCAGTCTCCCTGCATGTGTAAAATCATAAAGTTAGTGTTAATAAAAAATAAAAAAAATTATATATGTGTATATATATATGATATATAGACATATATTATATCTATATGTCTATATATCATATATATAATGTCATACTAAGTGTATTTTTATATTAATATGTACATATATTAATATAAAAATACACAATTAAATTACACACGTATATATATATATATATATATATATATTTAATAACTATATATATTGTATATATATATTATAAAATATAAATAAGTAATTTAAATTAAATTAATTTTTTTTTAAATAATAAAAATTGGAAAAAAATATATATCTATATGAAATTTTATTCTAACTGTATTTTAAAATATATATATATATATATATATATATATAAAAATACACTTATATATATACAAATTCATTCTATGTATATATAAATAAATAAAAATAATACAAAATATACATATGTCCATATACAAAATTACATAAATAATTATATAAATATACACGTAGACTTCAAATATATAAATATGCATATATATTTAAATTCTACGTGCTTATTTATGTAATATTTTTACATTAAGTAATTTTATTGATTGCAATTTGAGGGACCTGTCTGCCAACCCAGGCCAAAAGTCCAGAGAATTTAATTTGCTAGCACTGTATTTTACCCTGTAACGTTCTACGACACCCTAAAACCTGTACATGGGGGGTACTGTTTTACTCGGGAGACTTCGCTGAACACAAATATTAGTGATTCAAAACAGTAAAACATATCACAGCGATGATATTGTCAGTGAAAGTGACTTTTTTTGCATTTTTCACACACAAACATCACTTTTACTGATGATATAATTGTTGTGATACATTTTCCAGTTTTTAAACACTAATATTTGTGTTCAGCGATGTCTCCCGAGTAAAACAGTACCCCCATGTACAGGTTTTATAGCATTTTTGAAAGTTACAAGGTCAAATATATGGGTCAAATATTTTTACATTGAAAATGGCCAGGTTGGTTACGTTGCCTTTGAGAGCGTATGGTAGCCCAGGAATGAGAATTACCCCCATGATGGAATACCATTTGCAAAAGAAGACAACCCAAGGTATTGCAAATGGGGTATGTCCAGTCTTTTTTAGTAACCACTTGGTCACAAACACTGGCCAAAATTAGCGTTCAATTTAGTTTTTTTACTTTTTTCACACACAAACAAATATGAATGCTTACTTTGGCCAGTGTTTTCGACTAAGTGGCTACTAAAAAAGACTGGACATACCCCATATTGAATACCCTGGGTTGTCTACTTTAAAAAAAATATGTACATGTGGGGTGTTATTCAGAGATTTATGACAGATAATAGTGTTACAATGTCACTATTGATACATTTTAAAAAATGTATGTTTTGAAACCGCAATATCCTACTTGTACCTAT